GTGTGTGTGTGTGTGTGTGTGTGTGTGTGTGTGTGTGTGTGTGTGTGATGATATCCATGAATGTGTGTGGGAGTCAGAACAGGAAATGGCCAGGATGTGCAGAATTCCTAATTTCCCTCATGGCCTGTTTCTTGGCAGGAAGCACCAGCTGTCCTTCGGTTTATCTGTGCCACTTCTTGGGGACGGGAGGGACGGCGTCCTTCAGTACGACCGAGTGGTTTACCAGAAAAGGATGGAAGTACACAACAGTTTGCCATCAGTTAAATTACACGGGGCCATACCACCACCAAAGAATCATTTGTCTATGTGGCTACCCTCAAATGTGTCGCAATTTGGTCACAGACGCGTCTATTCCCTCGGTAGGAAAAGAGACGAGCATGGTCGCGTTAAGGCGTGACATCATGGCTGGCTGGAGACAGACAGGAAGAGGAAATGGCTAAAATCAAATGAGCTGGCATTGCATTTGCCAATACTCTCCGAGGTGCTTTCATACGCAAATACACAAGCAAGAAATAAGTCAAACTGCAGGACACTCTAAAAACAGCTGTGTTTAAACAGCAATAAGCCTGCGGGCCTTCACAATGGCTCAAAACACACATGTTTGCACACACAGAAGTATACACACGCAGAAGGTACATATTCAATGTGCTTGCAAAAAATAAATAAAAATGATGCACACACACAAAAACAAAGAGCACTTTGAAAATAGCTCTGCAGCTGTCATTCTAATGGAATCATCGCCTCAGTTGCAGACGATGCTGCAGGTTTAAGTGAATTACCACCTGAGGCCTTGCTTTTAAGCTTATGGAGCATGACCTGAGAGGGACGCAGAGATGGGAGGAAGTTTATGTGTGTGTGTGTGTGTGTGTGTGCGTGCGTGCAAATGCACTCCTATAGGCATCATCGCAAAGCAAACAACAGCCTTGGCCTTTTTCCCTCCCTGACACTGCACGGCCCCTCTCTCTCGCCTGACCGTGACCAGCACTCATCTGTCTCCTGTGAGGGTTGGGTGGCTCAGAGGTCCAGGGTGAAAGGTTAAAGGTCAAAAGGTCTGCCCAGCGGAGTCTCCCTCTGGAGACCTCTCGCTCTCTCTCTCGGTTAAACATTTGCAGTTCCCGCTGATGCTGCAGCACCAACAGATGAGGAACGACGGGAAGATGAAAAGTGTGTTCTGGGAAATCAGATCGCTCTACATCTCAGAGAAACGAGCAGCAAAGGATCCGGTGCTGAGGAGGATGAAGAGCTGGAGGAGGAGGAGGAGGAGGACATGTCTATCTTTAGACTAAGTCGCTCATATCAGAGAGTGTCAAGAGGATTGGAAAAGGGAGCGGTATGAAGACTAGCTGTTAAGTCTCTGAACAGAAAAAGAGTTTTCAATAGTTCCCAACGACCAACTCTGAGACAACTGGGATCCTTCTGAATATTAATAGAAATTAGTCTTTAGGTTTCAAACTGGCAGGTTTGGAGCGCCCAAAGATTATACAATCTTCACAAAGAAAAGGCCCTGGGCTTTGTGTAGTGATAACCACTACCCAAAAACAAGATCCAGAAAGAAGGCGACAGAGAGAAGGGTTGAGGAAAAAACGTCCAACGAGAAAGAAACAAGTATTTGGGTGTGCCAGGCAGAGTGCAACATGACATCATAGGTCAGCTTAGGTCTCCATGGCTCGCTCCTTCGTAATCCCGTTTGCATGATGGGAACAGAGTGCTGTTGTTCATTTGGTTCACATTCAGCTGCATTAGGTACACCAACTTTAACGAGTTACCATACTAGCTCCTGATGTTGTTGGGCGGTGTAAGTATTGTTTAGTACAGTTTCCTCTGTTTAATAGAACTATCTTGGGTGTTTATCCCAGTCAAGGGCTTTAAGACATTGGTAATGCTTGGAAATCAACATTCTGTGCATCTCTATATTGTTCATATAAATGTTCAAATCCTGGGCTGAATACAATTACTTCTTCTGAAAGCACTAATTAAATCCATACAATCTAAAGAGAAATAAAAACAGGTCCCTACTACAATGCCAAAGCCATTCCCTGCCTGTTTCAGCACCACCTGTTCGGTTCCCAGCTGTCATTGAAATGATGAATTGCCTCCAACATTTAAATCACAAATAAAAGCCTTTCATATTTCAATCACACAGGAAATAGGAGGGCTGGGATGTGGAACATGACCGTAGCTGTGTAAACACTATTGTGGCCAGATACTCCCGCTGCGATGACGGCCGAGTGGCTGTTTCCACCGAGCACTCCTAAATAGACTATTTTTGGACTAAACACTCAATACCGTGCGTTCGTGTAATGTTGCAATGAGGACGGTGGCGGTTAATGAAACCGAGCATCAGCCCCTTTGGCTCTCATCAAATAAAAACGTCCAACGCCGCCGTGTCCTCACAGCTTTTTCCTCTCAAACTATCTGCACAGAAAATAACTCCAGGCCTCTCTATTCTAAAAATATTCTCAACACATCATATAATCCCGCCAAAGCAAGCCAAACTTGAGAAGAAAGGGACCGGAAAAAGGACTGGGCAGGGGGGCTGGAGAAACAGCGTGGCATTTATAGAAACTCAGTGAACTGCCATTAGGCTTCTGAGCGCAGCACCACGGAGCTCAGAGAGGGAATCCTTGAGAGTTTAGTGAGACACAAGCGCTCACACTGAGAAGAGTCCACGGGGGCCAAGATGCAGACAAAGCTCAAACAAGGGAGGGGGGGATGTGTGTGATGATTTTGAGGAGAAGTGGTGCGAGTACGCGTGTTTGAACCGGCACGACCCGAGCTATACGCGATATCATTTAATAGCAACGCTGTCGTGCGTCCCAGTGGATAAAAGATATGTAAATTCAAGCACAAATATTTTCATGTAAAGTCCCTGGTGACTCTTCAAATATTTAACATTCTAATATATGGTAATGTGTCCCTTGGCATAACATAAAACAAAAAAACACGTGTACATTAAACCGCTTCCCTTCTCTCTTTCTCATGTTAACCAATCATCTGGCGTGAGCGGTGCCTCCAGCCCGACAGACTGTGAATCACCTCTTACACGTACATGTGTCCGATTGTCATCGTAGCCATAAAATCCGGCCATAAAACACACACTGTAGTGTCAAGATAACGTAATGACATCCTGTGTCACAGTGAAACCCATCCCGTCTTGTGTGCGTTTGGCGAGACAGCACAGAAGAAAGCATCCGTCAGGAGCGACGAAGCCTTCACCGCTGCTCTCACAATGTTTCAGTGCCGATGAGACATAAAGCGATCTCATTGTAAGACGTGCAAGCATGTCGTCATGGTTATTTCCAGGCCCGTGTTTTCAGTCTGTGGTTAATTGCTCCCTTTTCCTCCCTTGGTCCGCTCTCCCTTCATGCACGGATGTTACACCAGGAGAGGAGCAATGTGAATGTGCACTAATGTCGACTGTCGAGACAATTCAGTCCTATAGAATTAGAAAAACAAGTATAAAAGAGGGGAGAGAGCATTAAGGGGAAGGAGTGATGAGATGAGTAAGAGGCCAGCGAGGAGGCGGGTGGAAGTGATGGAGGGGATGATGAATAGGTACAATAATGGAGGGAGGGAGCCGGCTATTAGATGGTGAATAAAGGGGAGGCCTTCACGGCCAAAACAACTGCTTCAGTGTCATTAGTCAAGCACGGCCGACAGGAGGAACTCGCATGCAAACACACACACGTATGGATCCACAAAACACACGCGACACTCTGGCTGATACAGCCAATTAGGAAGGAGGGGCAGAGAAAGGGTTGGGGGGAGAGAGGAGAAAGATGAGGAGGTTGTCGGAGGTGGACAGATGGAGAGAGAGAGAGAGAGAGAGAGAGAGAGAGAGAGAGAGAGAGAGAGAAGGCAAAACTGAGACAGGGGAAGAGAGGGAGTGTGAAAATGCACGGTCACAGTGGTGGGCGGCGGCATCGGAGCCAAACTCCAGCTGCCCCGCTTCCATTCGAGCAGCCATCGCCATGGCAACACACATGCACAGCTCCACGTTGACGGGCTCCGACAGACAGACACGCAGCTATCACAAGGCCTCCGGTGTGAGCTAGGGCTGGATCTACACGTGATAACCGACGCATCGACGTGATTTTCCATTTTGCATGGATTTCTGTAATTTCCCAAAAATTGAAATTCAAAATCTGAGGTGGTCTGAGCAAAATGGGTGACTTCAACGTAAAAGCAGGCTCCAATTCAAGCAGCACACAAGCGTACATGTGTCTGTTCTTGTTTTATTTGTGTCTCTGTGTCCCTGTCTCTGACAGTCCCCCCCCACCCACCGAGGATGTGTCAGCCTCCCTGCTTCCCTCCAGGGCAGCAGTCCAAACATGAAATCAATAGTCTTGTCCCTGCCCACGGGAGATTGGGTTACATCCACACACACACACGCAGGGGGCTCAGGTGGTCTGCTGCGGTGGGCTCACACAGTTTTAAACATGATGCAGCACTGCAGCAGCAGATGACAGCCAGACATTAAAAACAGGCACTCCTTATAAGAAGACGAGACCCACTGCTCAGGGGAAGCACACGAGTAAAAAGAGCTGCAATGCTGCGAAGTTAATCTTCAGCTGGGTGCCGTTCTTGTGTTGTTGCTTAGTAAATGTGCAGGGTTTCTGCAGGGTTCATAGTTCACTTTAAGACCTTTTAAATACCACATGCAATGCAGTTCAATACCCGTTTCAATCATAGCGTCCAAAGTATGAAAGTATGATGGAAGCCAGTAGGGACCTTGAATTATTTAGTATCATTACATTACTGTGTTCTGCACTTCCCAGCAGTATATATATATACTGTAGATGAATAAAATCATTACGGTGCCAACTGATTTTTCATCATCCTTTAGTTTCTTGGTCGAGCAAAACAGGAGGTTTACATCTGCCACCTGTTAGGGAATATAAAGCACAGTAGTAGCACACTGCACAAGCAACACATGCCCAAAAACACACACACACACACACGGAGTGATATCCCGTCTGAACAACACATTCATACTGCAAAACGCCAACATGCTGCACCTAAAAGCAGAGAGAAATGCACAGACGCCTGCACACATGCCGCTAGCAGCTGGGAATGTCTTCCTCCGTTAGTGTACGGCGGTTCCTATCTCCCCCTTTAGCTCACCCCATAACTCCCTGCAGCTGGCCGCTGATTGGCTAACGATGAAAAGCTTCTTGTTATCTGAATTCAAAGCAACTGTCCCAAGTGGTGGTTTTATGTTTCTCATCAAAACAGACCCAAGAACAATGATGTATTAACCGTGGCCCTGCATGTACATGTTGAATAACATCGACAGCTGAGCGTCAAAGTCAGCGAGCAGCTCCACATGACACACACACACACACACACACACACACACACACACACACACACACACACACACACACACAGAGAGTCACCCGCCAACATACGGCCATAAACCTCTCTGACACATAAGCATCCCGACTTCCTGGAACAGTTTAAGTGGAGGGGAGCAGGCTTCCTCCTCTCAGCCTCGGGCTGCATCACCACTGCTGGGGTCCCAGGTTTAAAACCCGGCTTCCTTCCACATCCGCACCGCTGGGCTTTCTTCTTTAACACATCATGGGTTTGTTTCTCCGGGAGGAAAATAATACAGTGTGTGTCTGTGACTTTGTCCCTTCACATTCCACCCGATTGGTGTTTTCGCGACACATTGAAATACTTATTCCAGATGTGCATTTTCCAACTGACAATCCAAGGTATTGAACTGACATGAATAAGAACACCGTATTCATTCCCCATCACAAATGGAAGTCGTGTCTGGGTATTAATCAGGAAAGTAGATTCATCTTTTACTCCTTGGATACTCGTCAATGAACTATACACCACCCCTGCAACCACACTGCCTCCAGAACATTTGAATTGGCTAAAATGCCACCCAGGAAGCCATTTCATTTGTTGAGATGGTTTCCTTCTGTTCATGCGGCTGCTTTTGCTCAGAGTCTTCCGTCCTCGATATATAAGATATAAATCCCTATAGCCGTTATGATGCACTTTTCATTCCTCCAATTTCTGATTTGCGAGTTGAGGATAAAATTCTTGGCATCGAATCCGACAGAAAGGTAGACATATTAACCATAAAAAAAATACCCTAGGTGCTGATATGTGTGGTCATGTGTGCATTTCATAATGCCAGAGTCACACAGCCAAGACTGCACTCTAGAAAATGACTCGGTTGCCATCCCTTGTGTAAATACAAGTGGAAACACTGAGCCGCTGGGTTGCAAATTCAACGCAGATCTGTGATAGCGAGAGAATAAAGGCTCACTGTAAGGGAGCAGCTCTTTGCCACCGACCGCAGCCGAGTCAACCTCACATGGTTCCACTTTAGTCAGGAATTATCTCCTTCGGTGAGGAAGACTCTCCCCTGACAAGATCCTCAGAGGCTCGAGTCCTCTTTCATTTGGCTTTGATTTACAAGGCTCTCCGATGAAGGCTTTCGGGGGGGGGGGGGGGGCTCTCTCTCCCTCCACCAGCTCTGGATTTACCTCTTTTTTTTTTTTTTTTTACAACAAACACACAAACCACACTGTTAACTGGGGACAACGCTCTGAAAAATGCATGTCTGAGGCGCTGCGATAAAACCAGCATTTGTGACCACCTTAAATATAACTTCCCTGGCAGCTCGCTACAGCGGCGGCTTGTTAAAATAAGAGTCTCTGTGGCATTCGAGCAAAGCTTACTGGCAGCAACGTCAACACTGTTTTTCCTCTGCTCTGAGGTTATTACCCACAGAGAGCAGCAGTGGCACCATTTACTCACTCCAGTTTACAGGAACTCTTACCTCTGAAGTGGCTTTCTCTCCTTCCTACTGAGGTTAAAGGTCAGACGAAACCACCACTCCACTCCACTCTGTGTCGGGGCCTTTTATCCTCTGGAAATGAGAAAAAGAGGGAAGAATAAAATCGATCAGATGTGATTAAGTGTCTATTTTTGTGACTAAAGTAGCAAAACACAACCTCGGCCCCGTCATCCCGGGCCATTAGCCGGTGAAATTCCAAACTTATAGATTTGTTCTCACTGCAGTGCGGGAGAATCCAGAGACCTGGCAGGGCGGCGGAGCTAGAGGGAGGCAGACCGATTTCACCGTCGCAAGAATGCAAGAGGATTAACTCTGGAGTGTGCTTGAGCGGGAGACTTAACTGGGCGCAGACAAAATCGACACGCACAGCCAGAGAGACACTTATCGCAGAGCTCTGGAAAGCAATCAAGCGCGGCTCTCCCCTCGCCATAAACCGCCGTCGTCATTACTGCGAGGGATTAGGAACGTGACATTTGAGGCCTTCTTCACTCTACGACGAAGCCTCTCAGACCCACACACGCTTGCAGCCATCGTAATGAGCACGCTGACCACCACAGGCTAATCATTCCACAGCGTGAGTCGGGGCAGAAATCCAAACCGTGTCAAAACTTACTATTCACCGTGAGTCATCAGTCTCAGCATTAAAACATTTCAACGAATCATCAACTCATCAGTGCTGAGTCATGACAGCCGGACCTTATTTTATCCAAAACAATGGATGCTGAATCACAGTCTGGTCGTGGAGACTAATGTCACACAGCCTGTTGGTTGTAGGTTATAACATGCTGAGCTGGCCAGGAAATTTCAATGATTAGGTCACAGTGTGTGTTTACCGTGTGTGTGTGTGTGTAAGAGAGGTAGGCAGCTGATGTTGTGGTTGCCTACTGGGAGGCTCTTCCCGCTGGCTTCAGCTGTTCCTTCATTCTTTTTTTTCCTACACACCAACTGTTGTTCATCCACAGCATGTGGCCCTCTTACTCTTGGTCAAAGAGTGCACGCGTGTGTGTTTTCACAGCAAACAGACCTTCCCCGTCCAGACTTCTCTCGCCCGTCATCCATACATGCGTGTCAAAAAAACACACACAATTGCCTTCTCGGATTACAGGTCACTCCACCCCCTCCACCACCATCTCTGTGGTGTAATTTGCACATGGTTAACGTGTGATATCACTCAGTCAACGCGAGGCCATTGAGCAGGTGTGGCGGTGACACGCAGATCCGTGCAGCTGCGGGGGGGGGGGGTGCAGCAGCTCCGATGCTGAGGACAAAGCTGAGGACGGCCTGACACGCACTGACAAACATTAGCAACTTGTGATCAAAGAGGGGAAGACAATCATTTTTAAAAAGAGCAACAAATTGCAGACATGACATACCTTTTCCTCTGAAGTGTCCCCTCTAAATTCTGTCATAAAAATATCAAAAGTATGCACCGTCAAACCACTTGATGTAGTTGTTCACATATCACCTGATGCTTATACATTTGTATTTATGAAGCCTGTGCATTAAGCTATATAGAGCAAGATGCTCTGGAAACATCGTCCCTCATTACTGGATACTGAGGCGACTCCTTGGACTCTTTGAAAACACACAACTGCCCCAAAAGGGTGACCTGTGTGTCACTGCCCTACCTACGCTTAGTCTCAATAGACATCAAGTGGCCTAGATCAGTGCCCCACTTCAACAACAGACCAAGGGGAAACACAGGGTCCAATGTGGTGGACACAGGTGTGTCCTTGTCCGCCCACACTCCCTCCCATTAACAGTAATCCTTCGGGGCAGCTCATTTCCTGTCAGGGCAGGAAGTGGGAAGGAGGGCAGGGCACTGTACGAGCAGGGGTGACGATGATGTCAGAGCAGGAAAAGAAAGACGGGACTGTTGTCGGGGAAGTACAGCAAATGAGTAAGCGGGCAGAGCCCAACGCACCGCACAGTGCATGTTGGTGTATGTTAGCCAAATCCCAAATATGTGACCTCTACTAATAACACTGAGAAGTAGCTACTGTCTGAGATGTGAATGTAGCGTGATAGACTAGTCTATAATAAGGGTTTTACACGACCACATAGCTGACTGTCATTAAAAAACACAGTGCTATCATCCAATAAACACCATAAGAAAAAGCTTTATTTTAAATGAATCATACTCTCTTAATACACGAATGATCTGTGTAACAAAGGCTGGACCCGGAGAGATGTATTGATTAGAAACACCCAACAGCATCTTACTCTGGTCTCAGAACAAGATAAGGCCTCCGCAGTGACCCTGAGCGGTTTCCCTGTAAGAGCACACTGAGGTAAACCATCAGTCAGCTGATTGATGGCTCGCCGCAACGCCGATCCTCGCTGGGAAGGCGCATTAGCATCGATCAAGTCAAGTTGTAAAGTGCCGCACGGTGCCTGACCTCTCGAGCAGTTTGATACAAAATCACCTCGATAGCCGTTAATGTCAAGTTCGAATTTTGTATATCGGATAGAGACACGACCGTCGTTCCTTAAAAGACATCTGTCATCTGGTGAACAGATTATTCAGCTCAAGTGACTCATGTTTTATTGGGTATACTCAACGTCTACAGGAGCCAGAGTGCCTCTCGGTCACATGATAAGCCAGTCTAAACAAACAACCGGCTCTACCTCACGGCGAAGGTGTTGTTGAACATGACCTTCCGCTATCATCACAGACCACTGTTGTGCCGTTCCCGCTGGCACACGGCGATGTCTGGTTGTGATTACGAGGAGCTGGTCTCCTCTCCTCAGTGGGATTCTCCACGGTCCGTGTGGGCGAGGCGCTCTGCTCGGGAGAAACCACACATGGTGGGAATTATGGAATAACGCTGCGTCAGGAATGTTCCCACGATGACCAGTGGGATCTGATGGAGCTCCCACTGGCTGGCTGGCTGCCAGCGGGGTTTACGGGTAATGTAACACACACACACACACACACACACAGAGAGTTACATGCTCAAATGCCTCGTGTTAAGTCGACACTTGGACCCGTTCCTCCTGTGTTGGCTCAAAATAGTCCTTTGTGTGCACTGGCTTCATTTGACTGCAACTTCTCGAACCTCATCGTTTGCTCACAGCTGATCGGGTTAAAGACAGAAATATCGCTTCTCATTCACGCTGTTTTATTCCAATAATCTCCCAGAGGGGGATCACCAACTGCAATGGAAGGGTAAAGGTCATGCTGATGGACCTCAAATACGCCAGTGACCATCCCCAAAGCCCTTAATGCAGATCACTGTGCCAAACCCTGCGAACCGCTCTCGAATCCGGTCACCGAGTAGAGTTGCCCGTGTGCCCGAAATAATCAGGAATCGCTAGAGAGTGAAGATCAGCGGAGCAGATAGAGATTAGCAAGCTACTCAGCCACTAACTTAACCCAGAGACTCATTCAATAGAGGCTCGGGCTCACTCGCAGAGCTGCCAGGGTATTTAGTCAATGAGATTTTAGCCAAGGGCAGCCACACAAGCGCGCACACACACACACAGCTCTATTTTGTGAGATTAAGCCTGCAGGTTTGAGTGACTGTCAAGGGATTCTCTTGCGAGAAAAATTGTGTCAATCCGCTTCTACCGCGGCTGTGTTCACTTGGGTTCTCTCTGCGTTGTAGGTCACTGACTCAAACGCTGGATTCCTTCTTCAGCGTAACCTTCATGAACCCTGGTGTAAAAAAATAGAAGAAGAAAAAAGGAGTAGCCTGCCAACATCACGCCGTACAGTAAATGTGGAGCACTGGGTTGAAGCGAAAAAAGTATGACTTCCAGACTTTGGCAGAGGGAACCGAAGAATGACATCATTGTTTCCAAGCAGTCGTATTTCACATGACATCAGCTGCGCTGAAGAACATTTTATTGATTCTCATAAACCTCGCTGTCCTTCACCGCGTGCTCCATCTCTTCCCTTTCCTCGCAGGTCTTTTTCGGCAGACATCTCGGTTTGTGGATTCACTGGTGACATGGCGATGTGCGGGGGGACCCCTGTGGCTCTTGGGACGTTATGAACAAGGACGGGCTGCTTTCCAGCCCCCCCTCCTCTCGTTTCCCTCTTCCAAGGTTTCACCGCACGCCGAAGTACAGCCTGGGTAGTGTAGCTACTTCTAACAGACATGAGCAGCGGGGTAGCTTTCGTGATTATGGGAGAGAGAGTAGTTAAAGTCGGATGGAGGGGGGGAAAGTAGGCTACGGTGCATATTTAATGGCAAAAACAAGCCATTTCAGCCCCAGTTTTTGGGTGTACCGCTAGTTCGTGGCTTGAACTGAACACAGAAAACACTTGAAACAGTTGGAACATTTAAATAATATAAGAGTGAGCCTCTTCAGTTCAACGCATGTATGTAGTGTAGCTGAATCCCTACAACTGCTCCAGTTCAAGAGTGCGTGGCAAGATATTTGTATGTTCCAGTGACTCAGGCATACGCTGCTGCTTTTGCAACCACACAAACAAGACACCCCCCCGCACAATGTGATGCTGAGGACACTATAATCACTGTCACTGGATCCTTGAGTTTCTCTGATAGTCTTATAATGCCGCAGTTGTTAGTGTATTCTCAGTGGTATATCACACTGAATCCTCAGTGGATTTGACTGGAATGTAACCCGGAGGTCAAATGATTAGAAAGAAACTGTACAAGCATAAACACTTTTGGGCCAAGCGGCAGGCATTTCACAGCGGGGTGAGGGAAAACAGTGCAGTCCACTTTTCTCACATCTGTGTTTGTATGATGGACTGGAAGGGTTTCCAGAGACTGCAAAAAGGCAAACAAACACCAGCAGCCCGGCCCCGCGAACACACCGACACGCGTAACTGCTGCCATGGTTTCATGAGAACTGGCCGAAGCGAGGAGACGACGCAGGAACTGGCCGCGCTCGATGTTTATCCCAGGCTATAACACATCGCACGACCCGCTGCGAAGAACTGGCCATTCCATTTAATTCAATTAGGGACGCAAAATAGCGCATGTGACAGAAAGCAATAAAGAGAGTAGGAAATAAATTCCCCTTTCTCATTCCACATTTATGTCTTACACCTGACAGATCATACATCACCCAGTCGATAGTGCATATATTTTAATACAGCAGCCAGGCAGCACATGTTTTGTTTTTCCTCTGAGTTAGCACTTTGTGTGCTCTTGCTCTCTCCAAAGAACTCCTGCTTGCCTTCAGCATGTTGTGTTCTCTCCATGTCAAAGACCCATTATCCATGGCCCGGCTCAGACAGGACGCCACAACCATCAATGCATCCCGTGACTGCGGCGGAGCTTTAACTGGACTTGGTGGTGGATTACATAGGCAGGTGGGGCGGAGAGAGAAAAACCTTTTCCAACCTTGGATGCTAAGATCTATTTCAAGTTGCCCAACTGTGTGCAACTTAACTTAAGAGACAGGTGTGGCAAAAAAAACACAGCAAAGGGCCTCAGGGCTTCGTGATGGTCATAGGTCTTGATGCATGTGATAGACAGTAACAATCAAGACCCCCCGTTTCCTGTCCCGTGCACTTCTACGTTAACAAAGACTGATCCCCTGCAACAGTGAATGGAGCCGACCATCTGTAATACAGTAGAGGAGGTGGGGGGGGGGGGGAGAACCAGCCACCTGCCATTGTCAAAGTCACACCGATTAATAGCTGCCTAAGCTGCTTAAACACACTGCACAGTGAGCGAGGTAGCACACAAAAGGGACAATTAACGACTGAACAATAATGTTTCGTAGCGGATCAGATAAAATATTGGAAAATAGGTCATGGAAGAAGGGGTGCGGAGATGAAAACTGACAGTTTTGAAGTTTAATAGCTGCATCATGACCCGATAAATGACATCTGATCGAAAAAAAAATATCTCCATAAAAATATGCTTTTTAAAAACAAGAACTGATTTAGGGCATCTGTCCCTCTGTATTAAAAGTGCTTATTTCCAAACCCACAATTGTGTACAGATGTGTAAAGGAAGAATCCAATACAAGCAGAAGCAGAGGTATCAGTTTCTCCAATTACAGTAGCCTCAGTAGACCAGAATGCAATGCAAACCAGACATGTTGTGATGCGAGTAAGGTTTCGTCCACTCGAAAGCTCACACTCGCTCTCTCTCCATCTACAAATTATAACCCACGGGTAGATGCAACAAGTGCAGGCCCGTTTTCTCTGATGGTTATTGAAAGGCAACATGGGAAATGTAGGAATTTAGACAATGCTGTTCATGAAATAACTCCTGGACCAGACCGGCAGCTGTGAATGAATAACATCCAGCGATGTAGAAGTACCTAAAAGGGGACTTTTCCTTGAAGAGTGTACATCACCGACCCGTACTAAAAATGTAAAAACTCGTAAAAGTGCTTCGGGAGAAAAAAGTTCACCCAGTGGCACAGATATCAAAAACTAACACGGCATCCAATTGTAGAACAAGTTCCGCTGTTTGCATTTCTAGCCGTCTTTACGCAGCAGTGTGTGTGTGTGTGTGTGTGTGTGCGCTTGAGTGCACCTGCTGAGCCAAGACCAAGATCGTGCATTGCCCTGAGAAGAGCGGAGCGTGCCCTCCTTCTGCCGGCTCCGATCAGCCGTGGAGTCGGAGACGACACACATCGGTATGACACACCTTGATCTCGTCCACGTACATGAGTAAAAGCGCATGTTCTTTTTCAGGCTGCACGACCTTATCCTCACTGTTGACCTTGTCGAAAGAACAGAAATCAATCATCGCGAAAGAAAAGGCTGGATGTGGATTTAAAACAATTAATTTCCTGCCATGGATAAAAGTCTGTGTACGAAAAGGCCAACAGGAAGAGCAGGTCTCTATCGGGGAACGCTGGAGAATATGCAGGCTACAGGCGGGCGGGTTAGCCATTTGTCTTTGTTTCCAAATGGCAGGGGCAGCTGCCACCAAAGGTCAGCAAAATGTTACCAGAACAAGGCCCTATAGAGGCTGGGGACCACGTGTCTGTGACAAGAGGAGGGGAGGGGGGGGGGGGTGGACACACCCAGGTGGGACGACACACACACACTTTCTCTGTCATACGCGTTGTAATGTGTGGCACCTTGTTTGGCATCAAGGAGCTGCGCGCTGATGCAGCTGGTGGAAGTTTATTTGCTGCCTCCCCGACCAGAGCCAAGGTACCTCCCATGTAAATATCAGGTTACCCCCTCCGGGTCTCCACCAGGGTGTGTGTGTTGAAGGCTGCGTTTGAAGTGCCATCCTCCCCCTGCCCTCCTTTACCCACCTACACCCGCGGCTGTAACCCGAACTTGGTAAACTTACACCAACCTCCATCGCCACCTTCTAACCACCGTCTCTGGAGCTTTTGTGCAGAGCAGTCTTCTGCCTAGGGACATTGGGTGGGTGGGTGGGTGGAGGTCAGACGTGGCCCTTGCAACTCGCACGACAGAGCCAGTAAAGCGCTGACAGACGGACAGACCAGCATGCAGGAGCTGCTAACAAACACAAACACACACACACACACACACACAAATCTCTCTTCTCTAACAGTGTCATGGGATCATTCCTCAAGCCCAAAATCTATTTGACAACTGTTTTTCTCATCTAATCAACTACATCCCAAGGAGATCAAGCGTGCACAAAGAAAAGGATGAAAGGCAGCAGAGAGATGGAGAGAGGAAAAGCAGAAGGTTTTTTTTCTCTCCCTTGGATGAATGAGAAAACCATGTTTCTGGTTATGTATTTTAAACTCTTCCAAAATATATATACCCTCTCTCCCTCGGTTCTCTTTCCAACAGCCTCCAGACAGAAAGCTGACGGAGAAAAAAAATCCTGACATGCGCTTTAAAAACAGGAGCAGTGGAATGACACGCTCTCCTCTAACATGTGTTTTACCTCTGCGGCTGGAAATGTAATCCACGACTGAGCTGTATGCCATACTGCCTGACTATTAAGTCTACTGACTGAATGTCTTGTATGAGCCTACCACATGACGTGCACGTCCACCGTTGACTTTCTTATGTTGTTGGTGTGTGTTTTGCACCAATGCACCATCGGATTTTGTTCTTGGCATAAATAAATCATGACGCTGAATGATGTGGCATTGCTGCAACTACAATAACAATAATCCTGGTTCAAATTGAGCATAAAATATGCCCCAGAAAAGATGCCTCTAACATTTAATCCTCTGCATAATAATGCTGCATAATAAAAGTTCTTTCATTCATAATGAGACACACTAACAAAACCCAAAAGGAACAAAACAACATATCACCGGGTCTTCCAGACGTCTCTGTGGCTTCACTCATTTTCTGTCCTCTTCTGAGTCCATGACTGGATAGTAAGTGACATCTGACTCTACTAAACCCCAAAAACACGACAAACTTAAAGGCATCTCTGCCTGAAGGGGAAGCGACCAGAAGGCCAGTAGTTATTTTCATCCCATTAACTTGCACTGTAAGCGAATGGGCTGCATTGTCTCCATTCCCTGAATAATGTGCTTCTCGTCTGGCGCTTTGTGGATGCAAATCAAGCGTGCCTTAAGGACACAGACGGCCCATTATAATGCCTCTTTGGGGGAATAAAAGGCTGGGCCATGTGGCTTTTTTGTGTTTGTTTGTTTGTTTTGTGTATTCACCCTTGAACTCAGGAGATACAGTAAAAAGAAAAAAGTGCCTTCGTCTGGCCTTGGTAGTGTAAATAAAACTCCCAGGGAATGTTGACTGAATGAAAACCCTTGGCCCATATGGTGGCCAGCCAGGCTGTGGCATGGCATGCAGCCCCTCTGCAAATGACCTTTGAACCCTGCTGTCAATGAGGTGAGAGTGGGGGGCGTAATTATCTTTCCAATGTTAATGTCTGTCTGCAAACACGCTCTGTGACAGACAGGTAAAACACAGCTTGGTAAATCAGCAAAGTATAAAAATGTCCCCACCGGGCTCCACTGAGACGTTTTGTATGGAACAAATAAAGCTGCTTATTCTGCAGGCTGGAGCCGACGCCAGCATTTTAAACACAACAGCCCCGCTGGTCATAGTGGCGACATGTTATCCAATCCGCTGCCCCGGCGGCGTCACCCAACAAAGGGAATTAAAACAGTGCTCACGAGCTGCAGTGAAGGGAGGTAGATGAGTAACGAGCCCAACCCCGGCCACACTAACAGACATTGGCGGATATTTTGCAGGTTTCTAAACGACATACAGTGCGTTACACAAATGCACCAGCAAGATATGAAACATTAAGCGTGACAGAAAAAAAAACATCGGCCATTACCAGCAGCTGGTAGCCTCTCCTCCCGTTAAACGGGGTGGAGACTGCACATCTCCTCTGCTCGGGGAGGAAAAATACACATATAGAGGACACCTTGTCGGCTAATGCGGAGTGAAAGGGCTCGGTTCTTGCAACGTAACCAACTAAACCACAACATAACAATAGGGTGTCGCGTTCAAATGCCTCTCCCCGTGGAAAAAGCTGCGGCTCTTTTCCCAGTCTGCCCGAACGCTGCACGCCCTTTCTCCCCCAAGAAAGGGGGTCGTTCAATGGCCGCACAGGGGGGCACGTACGACCCCCTCCTTCATTTAGACAGCCTGCCACACAACACACACTCTTACAGGGTAACAACACATTCTAAATAGCTGGTAGTGCTCATCTATAAGAGGTGAACATACAGTGTAGCGACTCCCTCCGTCTCGTTCCTCCCGAGGACACCATCTAGGATGGGCTGGCATGGTAAACTGTCATTTTATTTAGGATTGGCATGAGTCTCTAAGGATGTTTATTCAAGGAGAGGGAGGAAATAAAGGTGTTAGATAATAAAACATAAAACAGAAAAGAGAAATCCACTTACAGTCAAATGGGATCCACAAAGAGGCTCCTCTCTTCTCCTGTGTTCTCCAATGGGAGAGCAAATATCACTGCCCTCGGGGGGAAGAAACCCTCCTGCTCTGTGTGAGTATCTGTTTAAAAGATGAATCTAGCTAAAACAAAAACTGCCCGTTATCCTCATGTTTTCACACGTCGCCTCGTCTACATACACAGTCTCGTTCCCTTTCCCATTCTTCTCTCCCGGAGCTGCCGAGGAGACACGCTGAGCGTCCTCGTCGTTTCCTGTCCAGCCCAGAACCCAGCGCTGCCTTCAGGGCCTGTCGGAAATATCTCTCATGCTATACAGATAATCGCAGAGAACAGGAATTACGGAGCTGGACGGTAGATATGAACATGAAAAAAAGACATTGCGGTGTTGCTCGAGTTGACCAAAACACACAGTTTAACTCAGTTTTCTGACGATTATTTGGTAAAAATATATACATATACCCACGAAAGTAGGAGTCTTGGAGGAACAGTGATGGCAGCATCAGTTTCCAGTAGCTATTCCCAGTCAGTGGCAGTAGATTTACTATTACAATATAATACTATAATAACAGGGGTTCTTGCTGATGCTCTCCTAAAGCCACCACCACCAGACAAAAGGGACTTCCAGATTAGGAGATTATTGCATGTTATCCATATGGACACATGGCATTACTAACCCGTCAATCCCCCATCATCCATTTTCAGAGTCAGAATTACAGACAACATTTTAGAAATGCTATAATCCCCATTTTACAATCCCATGAATCCGACACCATGTGTTGCCACACAAAGTCAGTATTTGCCACCCTTTAATGGTCTCTAATCCATGCTCTGGGCAGGCAAACCTGTATAAAACAGGAACATGCATTGAAACAAAGTTATACATTGTTGCAATTAAAATAAAATTGTATCTGAAAAGCAATTTTCCTGGTTTGTAGCTGCAGATAACTGTTATTAACGCGTTGGCGCTATCTAGTGGACATATAAAGCTACTGCACTTTTTTACTCAGCCCCATTTTGTGGACACAGCCATGTCTTTTTTATTAACCAAATAATGAAAACTTGAGCAGAAAATACACATATTTACACAATACTTTATCATATTCTGTTTTAAAGTGCCTATTTGCATTCATGCCAGCATTGCTACTGTGATCAATGTCCGTACTTTCATGCAAAAGCTTTTAAATGTTTAAAATGGGTAATAAAAAGTTGTTTGTGTGTGTTTTCATCTCCCTCATTCTCAATAAAACAAACAACCAGTTCACTTGATAGGAACAGAACTGTCTTCCAATGACTTTTGGGTCTAAATAAACACATAATAGTTTTACATGAATTAAACGCTGAAGTCGTCAAATGTCACAAACCCATGGGAGAGAACGGAAACTTCAGAAGAGGCGTTTTCTGCCACAGGATGTTTTCCCGCATGAGAGGATGTGTGAGGCTCACTCGCTGCAGCACCGTGGGAGTGCTTCGATGTCACAATTGAATTGCACAGTGAGGATATGATGTATTACCAGGTTTGATATTGGAGTAACCAGATCAGATTTCTCTTTCAGCGTACAGTCAATGCAGCCCGCTGAAGGAGCTTGGAGTTTGAGCAGATGAGAGAAAGCCTTGGGGGGCGAGTTCACAGTCTCGGCGCAAAAAGATCAAGATGAGAGCGTGCTGGGTGCTCATGATGCTCCTGAGCTGCAGGTTATTTCACACCACCAAGTTCCAGGACGCCTGCAAAGGTAAAGCGTGGACTTTATTGCAACACACACATTATTAGCATTCAGATGGTTGTGGAATTCAAAGTAGTTTTGCAAGAAACAACTATTACAAGTAATTGCGAGAGACCTAACCGTGTATATGTGGTTACAGTGGGACTGTTTGGGTTCATCTGAGGTTTGCCCCCTCAGTAGTAGTGCACGGACACTTGAGTTGATGAATTGCAGCGGGAAAAGGTTTTGTAGCTACTCTCTGGTTGACAGCTTTGGTTAAGTTTATGCACGTAAAATGTGGGACGTTGAGTCTTAAGGAACAGGAAGGTGCTCCTCTGTAGCTTGATATATATCCTCACTTACTGGCTGTTTATTCATTCCTAAAATGAACCTTGTTGTCTCCTGATGGCTGCATTTGTGGGGTGAGACATCTTAATGTGAACCAACATCTACCAGAGTCCACAGAGGAATCTCAAAAGAAAGTGTTGCCTCAACTTTAGGACCGTTGCTGTTTACACACAGAGCACATTCAGCTCGACACTATTCCCTGCAACAAACGGCACAAAAACAAAATAAACGCCGCCTCGGGAGTGGCACACTTGAGTCAGGCAGTGGGCTGACTCAAGTGTGCCACTCACATGGTAAATATCCGTCTCTGCTTTTTGTGAAATGTGAGGCTAGGTTAAAAGGAGGTAAATGTAGAGATGTGCTGCTATTGAACAAATTCTATACGGGGGCGGAGTGGCTGTGAAATGACGAGTATCAAAAGCTGAATTTCAGTTGGGGGAATTGAAAGCAAATAAATGAATCTTTGCAGGAGTTATAGCTGTAAGAAGGCGTTTGGTTTTTACTGCATTAACAAACACCATGATGGGCTACTCCATCATGTTTCTATTTCCTCAGCAATCAGAGATCTGACATTATACTGTGCGAGTAATCAGAATGCAATTTCCCCCCTTGAATCCTAATCACACCTTTCTCTCTCTCTCTCTGTCCAGACCAGATACAAATTGTCTGTGTGCCTGCCGGAGACAACGTGTCTGTGCCCTGCCCGAAGTTGACCGGCCAACACGTGACATTCGACCTTTACCAAGACGATGAAGTGATCTACAACCAAATGTACATCCGTGACAAGCAGGCACCCACCTGTAAACCGAGATACACCAGGGCTGGCGTGGAAGTGCGTGAAAACACGGACAATGAATCGTTCAGTTTCACGCTCACCGGGGTGAATGCCAACAGCTATGGTATCTACAGGTGTGAGGGCACAGACATGTTCCCTCCTCCCTTCAGGAGAAGTACTCTGTGGATGCTAATGCTTGTGGAAGGTAAGTATTCCTACGAGGTTTTAAAAAGGAACACACCTCCTAGCCCAGTGCACTGACTACTCCCTGATTGTTTCTTCCAGGACACCAATGCAACTTCAACAATGTCTCCATAACACCTAAAGCAAGTGGAGATCAGAAAGATGGATTCCTCTGGATTTGGATTCTGGGGCTGGTATTTCTTTGCATCTACAGCGTGATCATCACCATCATTGCCAGCATCATCTGGGTAAGATATTCCTCACATATAAACTAACACCAGGTGAAGAAGCGTTGTGAAATAAATCTCCCCAACAGCTTTCTCACCTTCACAATTAAATTCTCTTTGGGAAAATCGTATTTCTGCGGGTATTTATTTATTTCTTGGCCCAAAAATAAGCCTTTACAAATTCCACCTTTATTATGACATGTAAGTCAGGTCCCCAAAATCCGAGAAAAAAAAAAAAAAGAATAAAGACATGTGCTCCACATCCTCGATGATCGCTGCAGCATCATTCTGACCCTTCACAGACGTAACGCTGTCGTTCATCCTTCCTACAGGTCAACTGGAGGAGGTCGGACTCCCAGAGTGACTACATGAACACCAAACCCAAAGCACACAAGAACCGCAAGAAGAACAGAGGGGTTCAGATCCCGATACCACGACACTTCTGATCACCCGTGCATCTCATCCCCGTTAGTTCAGACGCAAACACGGTGGGGGGGGGGGGGGGTTCCTTGCACCAGCTCGCCCTGGATGGTGTAATATTAGGAGTCAAGTTTTCTTCAGTTCCTTTTTTTTGTATTTCAGTACGAGTTATGTGTCGACGTAGCGAAAGTAGCAGTTCTTTCTTTGGCAGTTGTGGTTTTATAAAACAATAAAAAAAGAGTGCACCCAGCTTTCTGTGTCGCTTTCTGTTTAACACACAGATCTTCAGCTGGAATCCCTCTTTGTGGTCGAAACACAAGGGGGTGTCTGAATGAGGGGATTTAACCACATTCAAAAGGTTTACTCCACTTGTAAACCTGCGTGGTGAGATATGAGTCACGATCGACCACAATATCAAAATGTAAAAAGTCGTTACAGGTCAAAAAAAAAAATCTAAATACACGTATCTCCGTCCAGGCTTTTCTTTCTGAGAAGGTAGAAACATCACAGCTTTGTGAAAGTTGATGAGAACCAGATTTACAACTAGGAGAGGCAAACACTTCAAACAATAACAACCTGCACCATTTCCTGTCTTCCTCCCTCTACTGTTTTCTTTAAACCGTCGTCGTTCTTTCTGCAGATGCGGCTGCTTCAAAGAGCGAAGCTTTACCTTGCTCACCTTGCAGTTATTGCAAGCGCACGCACCACTTTTCTTGGTTTCAGCACGCACCACTTTTCTTGGTTTCATTCTGCGGCATGGTCTTACTCATCAACCTCCGCAAGCATCAGCAAGATTAACACATTGTTTCTGTTAGCAAAAGATGATAAAAGACCATTTTTCCATCCTCACAGTCACTCTTTTACACACTGGGTTAGGGAGCACACACCCAAAGAAAGGTTCAGGTTCTCTTCGTTTGTGTTCCTCAATTTATTCAGACGTATTTAAATACTTTAATTCCTTCCTAATTGTTTACAAGGCTTTAAATAGCACAACGAAATCTGTGTGTTCATGATGATTGCACAGGTTGGGACTACTCAACCAGATATGGCCCTCGCCATCTGTCTTCAAGACCCCCGGTGGTCCCCTTCGGGTTGCGTGTCTGAGCTGAGGTGTTCTGGATAAATCCGTCCCCTGAGGAAGTCTGTCCTCTGTTCCTCAGACTGCAGCTCCTGCTCCGTTACCTGGAGAACAGGATTAGGATCATGTAAAGCTTGCCATCGCTGATGCACTCACCACTGTTAATAACTTGTTGTTTGTATGAGAAGCATTGTGTTTAATGTCAGCGAGCTGTTGTCAAGGAGGACCACAATGTTCAGAAAGGAAGAAATGAAACACTCATGTTTGAAAGGAGCATGTGGCTGAAGGCAGGTCATATTTAAGTGGCTGCAACAAACTCATAAATAAATGTAGAAATATTATTCTCACCAAGACAGGGTTGTATCCCAGGATCTTCAGGTGGCGAATCTTGACAGCCAGAGGGCCGCGGGGATTGGACGTGCCATGGCAGAAACCAGAGTGTGGTGTGCAAATTACTGCAATTCTAGGACATCAAGACAAGGCGTTTCTCAGCATTAAAAAGGTCAAAATTTGAATTTAGGTAAAGGCACGACAGGGTGAAAGTGGCGGTTTGCTTAGAAAACTAAAAAATCTGATACGTGAAAAATAGACAGAGCAGATTGTGGCTTTCCTTCTGACTTACTTTGACATACTTATCTACAGATCTTTACCTAATAAGGTTAATGCAGTTCTGGATTTTTAATTAGTTTATTTAGAATTATGTTTATCCATCTTTAAAAATTAGTAGTTTTTTTTGTGGATAGAAGCTCACAACAGTCGTGCAAACTGCATTTCTACTTAGTTTTCTGTACATCTAAAGAACCATTTGGTTGAATTTGCACGCGTGAAATGCATCAGCAGGCTCAATAAAAAACAGTCCCGCTTATAGAGCACTGTTTTATGACGTTTTACTGTCTTGGGTTGAAATGTGTTCACTTTGTTGCATGCAAAGCGGTGGAATCAGACATTGGATGTACGCAATCATGTGACAATGCCAGAACAGAACGCCCAGACATCCTCTCCACCTGCTCTCACGCCATCAAAACTCCACCAAACATGACATAAGCACATTACATCGTGCAAAAAAAAAAAATGCCACAGCAGCAGATTTGTTCAAGACAGAGTCTGGCGATGTTATGGACTGCACGCTGGCGTCTTACCTTTGACTGCTCTCTGCTGGAGGACACTCTTCTCCTGCACGACTACCGGCTTCAGTCACAGAGGTTTGGTTCAGCAGAGGTTTGGTTATCACAGCATCTGAGAGTCGACACACAGTTACGTACTGTTATTATAACACAGTTTCCAAAGTAGCTGAAATGATGTTCTGCAGCCATTTTCTTACAGTTAAAAAGCAAAATGCGGACACAATGAAGAGATATTTGGGCATCAGTTCCATCTCCTGTTTTCCCTTGTGGCTTCTTATATGATGAATCAACATTATTAAAGCATTTCTGTGGAGAGACGGGGGAAAACTTCACTTCTTTCCTCCGATATTCTGTCTTTACCTATGAGGTAGAAGTTCTCCACCACCACCATCTCCTGCAGCATCGAGTCCGCCTGGTCCCCCAACACACTCCGCAGGCCCTGCGAGAGCCACGGGTTGACCGGCGGACTGCTGGGGACGGGGTCTCCCAGGACAGATGGGGGGACCGTCAGGGGCTGAGGGAGCGGAGGACGCTCAAGACCGAGGCATAAGTTCACCGTCTGAAACATCCTCTCCTGGTTGGGGAGAAACCTGGGTGCTGAGGAGAAACAGAAGATGGATGAGTATAGGACGTCACAAGGCAGAAGAAGGCAGACTAGACTGTCCAATGTGAGTGAGTCCATTATCTCACCTGTAGTGCTAAACTTCTCCAGTGAAATGCTCTGCAGGAGTTGCTCCAGTGGTGCAGAGGGGAAGTGGCCCAGCAGACAAAGATGGTACACAGCCTTTAACAACTCAAACCCGGACATCTTGGGCAGATAGGAGTCCAGAGCTCCACTCAGACTCTCCAGGAACCTGGAACAGCAACATGAAACCCCCCAAAGGAAACCAATAGTCATGTACGTTACGACTGGCTGGCGTATGAGTAAAGTCTGACGTACGAAGACGTGCGAGTGACCTACTGTTGTCTTTGGTGCTGCAGGTCATAGTTAAGCGAGGAGTACACCTTGAGGACACAGAGGAGGTCTTTAAGTGTCAGGGCATCTGGATTGGCGATCACCTTCTTCGCGAATGCCTCCATTAAGGCGGCGGGACAGAAGGCGAGGTTGTCAAACACAGACAGGAAGAGGACCACCTGAACAAAGATGAGGAAACACTTATGGGTCACTTTTGTTTATAAAAATAGATTGTAAAGGACATTAGATGTTATTTTAACAAACATACACAAAAAGTTCACAAAAAGAGTTAGGAAACAGTCTGTTGCAGCACCTGTTTTTTGGTCCATATGTCTATTATAGAGGCGATGTATTCTGAAATGCCAGTGAGCAGATCTAAGTCTCTGTAGTGCAGCTCCCTACAGGACTGCAGGACTTTATACAATCTGTTGAAGGGGATTCCATTGAGGTTTTCTACCAGAGAGGACAGAGCAGGTTATGAGAACTATAAAACAGAAGACTTTATACGAGTATAATATTATATTCCAGGCTCTTTCAATAGAACACAGGCTTACAACTCTGCATTTAAATTAGACTATAATTCAACAATCTGATCTTGTGGAAAAGGTTTCTACCTTTAATCGTCTTACTGCAGACATCCAACAGTGGTTTGGAGTAGAAGCCCATCGTGGCCATAGTGGAGATCATGTACTGGGTGTTGGGAAGGCTGAACTGGTCTGTCATTGATAGAGCCTTTCTCTGGAGGAGACCGTGTACAGAATGAGTGTCAACACAGAATGGATTCAGCTACAGTTAAAATAGTCATTTTAGAATCACATATACAAAACCAAGACTCATAAACCGACCTCGAGTTTCCGTTTGAGGTCCAGTGGGGCATCTTTCCCCAACAGACGCATCATGGTCTGAAGAGCCATAACATTCTTGATCCTGGGAAGACGGGCCTCAACTACCAACCTAGGACAAAGCCACAGTAAATGTCAATGTAAACGGATCTGAAAAAGAAGTGGTAAAAATCGATATAGTCACTTGGATGGTTATGTTGTCGGCTAAGCCAAATGCATCTTTTGATAATCCTGACCTCATGCCCTCTTTAAGTGCACCGACGTTGGCGTTGCCCTCCATGTGTTCCAGACAGGAGGCCAAGATGGACAGGCCCTTCTCATCAAAGTCATTCAGATTCTCCTGTCAGTGGACAATGAAATGTATTTGGATAAACACAAAACAAAAAGTAATTCCAATATGAAGACATGTTCGACAATCTTTCTCTGCCTACCTGACAGGTTCGGAGGAAAGTCTGGACCACACGGCTACCTTGGGGAACACCCAGTTTGACCATACCCAGGAGAGAATAAGCCAAGTCGTCACTGCGCATGTGCCCCACTCTCTTCATGGCCTTCTGCAGAAGCTTGTCGAATTCAGGATGCTCGAACATCAGCTGCAGCTCATAGCGCCGCTGCTCGTCGGACATCTTCTTAGTGGTGGACCACATGTGGGTCAGGCAGTTGCTGACCTGTCGAACTGTGGGCGAGTATTGAGAGGTGAGGTCCAGCACGTCTGATGGGGAGCCACAGTGCCGAAGGTGGTCCGAGAAAGCCGTACTCCTCTCATCAGATTGGATCTCAGCGGGCAGCGAAGACTGTCCCAACCGTGAAGAGAGATGCTCCTTCTCTTCCAAGTCCTGACTGTGAATCCCACCCCAGGAGTAAAACCTCACTGAGCTGACAGGACTCCTATCCAGGCACGTCTGGCTTTGCCTTGTGCCCCAAATGTGTGCAAACTGCTGACTTGGGAAAGATCTGTCTTTGATGGATGTTGTCAACAAGAAACTGCGCAGTTGCACTGGAGACCTGCGGCTGCAATAGCGCAGGCTCCATCTCACGACCTCCTCTGTCACCCGGACAGCCATTATTATTATTATAGACGATATAAAGGGTGAAACACGACACTAGGACGTCCTTAATTTCAGCGCTATAACGCTAACTCAATGGGCGTTAAGCTAATAGTATCTGACTGACATTTTACACCCTCAGACACATTACGCAAATAGTTAGCACAAATAATTAAATACTATTACAACCTATGACTAAACTGCCTACAAGGTCAACAGACTGCCTCCCTCAAGTGATCAAAACACTGTTAGCATTTAGCTAGCTACGTGACGCCCCATTACTTATTGCTGTAACCGTGAAAAACATACAAATAACGCTCCCAAAATAACACATGGTGCTTTGCTTTGACGTTAGACGTTGTTTAGCAAAGATACACAGAGCTGCCTTACACTGAAAAGATGCATAGTCTACTCCATGTTAGCTAGCATTCTCATGTGCTTCTGCTTCGTGCTGTGTGCGACGCCATATTTAGTCCCCCTGTCAACTTGGTAGAGTACACCGCGTGCTCGTCAAAATAAAATAAATAATGTTTATTCGGAATCTAAGCTAATATATTTAAAGAACAATATTTATTACGGTTTATGCAACTTTTTACAATTTTAAATCATAGGTGTCACTGTTATCATAACACGTCCTGATCTATTTTGTTCCTACACGGACCCAAATAAGTACAGCACCCGCGGTGTCCCAGCAACCGACGCCACCCTGATAGATATGGCGAAATTTGTGCTTGCTGGTAAAGTCTGATTTTACTCGTTACGTGATATCATGTAACTATATATACAAATATCACATTTCTGATTTAAATTTGAACCCGTACAGGTAAAAGTGACTGTCCGCATTACGCCAAAGCGGAACTATTAGCAGACAGTCTGCAGAGATCTCTTCCAAACTTCAGGATCCACAAGATCTCCATTCTCCCACATGAGTGGCAGGTAATTGTCTTATTTCTTTCTTTGTTTTTACAAATCATTGGCATGTTTTTGTGTTTCTTATTTGTCACTGGTTTCTGATAGGAATGGCTGGAGGCCACCTGCAAAAGAAATGGATGGAAACACGAGAAGTCCCCTCTGGTCTGGAGGGAACTGGTGGACCAAGGGGGGAAAGGGATGCTCTTAGGAGGCTTCAGTGACTTCCTAGAGCATTGCCAGGTAGGCATATTAGGTTTTCTTAATTAAAATCACTTCTAAACGTCCATACATGCCAGTTTATGTAACCATTGGTTGTGCAGGACTACTACAGCGTCACATCAGACATGTCGACGGATGTAATGCTGACTGTTGCAGCAGAGAATCTGGAAACCAAGATGAATCTTGTTGTAGAGGAGCAGCATCGTGTCAGTCTCATCAAACCCCTTCACATATGGATCAGTAGGTGGGTTAGCCTGAAACACCAAACCAAAGAAGTATATATGCATATAAATGTTTTATTCTCCCATACTTGTCCAGTGCTCTCAACCCAACCAGCCACTTCCTGATCCCCAATCTGCTCTCTGCTGAGGTGTTCCCCCATGTTTCCACAATCAGCCTCCACCTACTGGACCTGGAGGGGACCGAGGAGGGATTGCAGGGGCTGAGGATGGAGACGGAGGACCTGGCACTCAGTCTGCTCCATCAAGTATTAGGCTATTTCTTTTTGAAGGATACTTTTTGTTGTCACCATATCAAAAGGAAAATAAACTAACTTTATACATCCACAGGTGACTATTCACACAGATCTGGAACAGGCCTTCCAGGACGCGGATGTCATTCTACTGCTGGATGAGGGGTGGTCTGATGACAGCGATGAGGAGGAAAAGAGGAAGGGACTCTCAGACAGGTACAGAGAGTACGGACGACTGATGGACACAAGGGCCAACAAGGAGGTGACGGTCATTGTGTGTGCCGACTCGTTCGCCAACCTGAGATGCTCACTTCTTCTGGACAATGCACGCTCCATTGACAGCAGCCAATTTGTCACCATGTCAACTCAGCTGGAGAATGAAGCCAAGGCCATCATTGCCAAGAAGCTGAAAGTGAGGACGTCGGGTAAGTCTCTCTCCATACTGCTACTGTATATTCACATTGCATTTTAGCCACTTTCCATGAAAGATGATCTCTTCTTCTGCTCTAGATGTTACAAATGTCATCATGTGGGGAAACATCAGTGGTCGTTTCTACATCGACCTGCAGTGGGCGAAGGTTTTCAACTATGACGGGGCAATCAGAGGACCAGCTTTCTTCTCCCAACCAGCTCAAACGATTCTCCATGACAGGTTTGTTACAACAGTAGATTAATGGCTTATCTCATTTTATTGCCTACACTTTATTGGTCAACTCTACCCACCTGGCACTTTGCAGGCTAAACAAACACACCGAAGGTCTGACATCATATTACAAAACTCCCGACCAATCCGTACCCGACTTCAGTCTGTGCAAAGAACATCCTGTGATATGCCAATAAGCCCACAACCTCCTTCCCTCTTTCAGGAAATGGCTGGAGACAGACTTTCAAGACTTGGTGCGTTGTCGGCGTGCAGCTGTGGCTTCAAAGTCCTGCCGAGCAGCTGCCATGTCAGCTGCCAACGGGATCCTCGCTGTCCTAAAAGCCTGGAATGGCATTTGTAGTCCAGATGAGGTCTTCTCTATGGGTGTGCTCTGCCCAGGTGAAGACACAACACGACCCCAGACATTGATCTTGGGCTGATGTAGCAGGTGATGAACTGTGATTGTCTTTGGCTACTTGTAGGCGACTACAATCTCCCAGATGGCGTCGTCCTCTCACTCCCAGTAACGTTCACGGACGGTAAATGGTCCGTGCGGTTTGACGTGACTGTTGGAGACGAGTTGAAGGAGCGACTTCAGCTCTCTGCGAGTGAACTAAAGCAGGTACGTCAAGTTTCATAGCTGCAGTTACCATTTAAACATTAAAGGTACAGGTTAAAGGTACTAACAGGTGTTTTTCTTCCCCAGGAAAAAGAACTCAGATCAGACATTTTGCAGGATTGTTATAAAGAAGACTAAATCATTTGCATATTGACAGACTAAAAGCATGGTTTACATGATCAAAGGAAATAATCCAGATACATCTCAAGTTTGTTTCAGTTTGTTCTTTTATTCTCTTACTTTCACATGTGGTGTCACTTTTATTTGACCAGTTTAATGACAATAAATCTTCTCCGCTTCGTGAAACTCGTCCATAGCTGTTATGTTTTTAGATGTAAAAGATCAAACTGAGTACTTTATGGAAAAAGGAGAAATTAGAAAATATATTGCTTTTTTTATTTTTTTTTATAAATTGTACAGTTCAGTAAGTGTATTTGTTATAGTTCCATAAGCGATACTTAAAGCATAAAACACACTACCATACACAAACTAGTCTGTTAATATCCTCTACATCTGGTGTTATCACTTGCCACCTACTTCCATTTACAGTCCTGAAAATAAAGACATAAACTCACCTTCCCCTCGTTGGTAATGAAATATTAAACAAACTGAATTTAATGGGCTCTTTTAACCTGAAACATTCAAATTGATTTTTCTTCTCAGTACTTTGTCAGCTGACAAGGAGAACTTGAACAGAGTGCTGATTTTACATGCAGAATATACATGTAGCGTTTCTACACTATACACAAGGAGGCGTTGACTGGGAAAAAAAAGGAAAGGTTAGTACAGATACAGTGCACTACGACAAGTCGGGAAATGGACACATGTTCTGCAATGTTATATTCAATTTGTACAACCCACCCCTGAGATTTGGATGCCGAGTGGTTCACAAAAGCAGTCGAGCATAGTGCTAGCTTTCTTTTTGTCATGTCCAAAGTTTCCCACAAATCCCCAGCAGATACATAATATGTCTTTAAACCATCATGTCCTTCCAAAAACAGAAACTAAATCTGCTCCAGTAACAGTAACGCCTCAGGTATCGATTATGGTAAATACGTGCGTGATCCATGCATGGACTTGTCATGGCACAGAGAAGGTTATTTGGTAAATATACATATCCGAGTGAGGACTATACAAGTAACAGATAGGTAGAGCGGGGCCCATCAAACAAGAAGTGCGTGTCTTTCAACAGAGTTGTAGATAAAGAATAAATTCCACTCCATAAGTGCGTATGACGTCAAATTAAATCCGCAAATATAAATGAGGCATCAATCACATAGAGGAGCTTCGGGAACATTATCTCGTTACATCAAAGTCAATTGTGTGTATGGGTGAAGATCTACTACTGGTCAACATCCAACAATGTCAAAGATTACGTTTCCATTTCCAGGCAACAAGTGAAAGACTGAATGTTTCTGTCAAAACTGGAACCGTGGAGACTTTTGGAGGGACGGATAAAGTGAAGGATGATACTGTTGTTTGACTAAGTCGAACTCTGGGAATACGCAACTACATTTGAAACCTGGACGTTCATGGTGTCATAAACAGTTATCATACAATCATTATGGGCAACTGAGGGGATTCAATTTGCTTTTAAACTCCCACCCCCTCAATATAACAAAGTTTCAGCGACTGACCGTTAAATAAAATAATTTATAGCATATATTAATAGTTATATAATCCAACATTTCAACTCTTCATGACACCATCTAGATAAACATTTGAACGAAAACGAGGTGGAAGCGTTAAGCTCTTAGCCAGGTGGAAAATAAAGGCATCTTTATTCTCACGTGAGACGGAACATGGACCGTTTTTTTTTTTTTTTTTTTAAACTACGCCGTAAGAAATTTGCCTCATAATTTATCAAGCCAATATCAATGTTAGATGCCAACTCTGAACCGGCTCTCATTGAAGATGATACGATGAGGCAAGCCACAAGAAAGCCTCTATGAAAGCAGAACGCACCAAGTAATCTCAACCATATGCCAAACAATCACCGACCAACTGCATTAAACGCCAAACTCTTTGATAAATGTTTCGTATATAGCAGTATGTGTGGATATAATGTAGGTCTAACGGACAAATAAAAACATGCCAGTTGAGGCCAGGAGGAGATAACGGGGAAGCTATGACTGTGGTTGATGCTGAGGGGACGGTGGCGTCTCTGGAGCTCCTGAGGCTCCTCCCACCGCCTGTCTGTCAGAGACCAGGTCCAGCCCCTCGTCAAACTGCTCCAGTTCGCTTTGGTCCAGAATCTCAAAGTCCTCTTCCTCGGTGGGAACTGGCGCGTCGTCGGGCATCTCCTCTCCGGTGCCGCTTTCTGTCGTGATCGCCTCGTTCAGGTCCTCGTTGGCTCCTTGTGTAGTGTTAGCAGTGGTGTCAGTGGATGGGGTGGAGGTCTCCAGAGCACCCGGTGGGATTTCAGTGGGAAGGAACTCAGCCAGGGAGGGGTCCTCGCTGGACTCACTGGAGCGCAGCAGGGCCGACAGAGTGTTCTGCACCACAGTGGAGATGGCTGTGGTCACTATCTCCTCGCTCAAGGCCTCCAAGGACTGCTGTGGTCCCTGGGTTCCTGCAGCTTCCTTCTCATCCGCCTCCCGCGCCCCCGCTTCCCCCGCCACGGGTAACACGCCCTCCTCACCCCTGGGTGGTCGTCCGTATCCGTTGAAGTGCGTGTTCACAAAGTGGAGCGGAGACGCTAGGTGCTGGATAAGGAGGCTGACGGGGCTCAACGGTTCCCTCTCTGATTGAGCACCGGCCTGGGCTGCGTCACCCTGGCCTCGCAGGGGGAAGTGGAGCAGGTTGCGCTCGATGGATGGGAACTCCTCAACCGAGGGGAACACGGGGAGATCCCGCAAGTAGGACTCCTCCGGCTCGCTGTGTAAACTCTGCTGGTCCAGGTCTGCAGTCGAGATGAGGCAGGAAAAGAAACTGACTCAAGCATCCAAGCCAAACAAAACTAAACACCAGTTTTTTGCATTGTGGCTATGACATAATCAAGTGACCCTCACTTGATCGGGTATGAGCGATCGTTTACCTTCAGAGAAGTCGGTGAGTTGGGGAGTGGTGGCTCTGGACACTGAGAACCCCCCACTCTCCAAGATGGATGCCTCTTCATCCGACAACTCAGAGTCTGTGATGGCCATCGCTAGAGCGGTGGTCTTCACATCCACCTGACCAACGAAACCACAGCGTCATGTCACCAATGTACCATCATCCTTCTCCATAATCACACTTATTGGAGCCTTGGGGTCAAAAACTAAAAAGCTAAACAAAAATACATAAACATAACCTGCTCCCCACACTACTTTGTATTCTCTGTTGGTGTCTATGTGGCAGTGTATTGATTATTGTGTCTCCATACCGTCGGGGCGAACAGGGACAGCTCCTCCTCACTGTCACTCTCGGTTTCGGCTCTCGGCTCGTCCCCCTCCTCTACCTCCTTCTTCACCTCTGTCAAAACACGCATACACACATTTAAATGTGAATAAGTGACCACAACAACGGATTCAAAGACAGAATGTCACACATATATGCAATACATGCTGCTACAACGAGGTTGGACTTCAGTAAGAGAGACAAGAAAGATGATCTACATCGATTCAGGCTCCTTATGTTACGCTTCCTCCTCGAATAGTTAAGTCCCGTATTATACAAGGGCGTGTATCCGTAGCTTTGTTAATTTGATGCGACGCATGCGAGTCAGGTTTAGAATCTATAGCCCGAAGGTGTTCCAGTAGCACTCACTTCTCTTGTCGTGCTTGCGGTGCTCGGTTTCTCCCTTCATGCTGTAGTCCAGTTTCATCAGGATCGGCTCCAAGCCCGTGTACATCCTCTGGATCAGTTCGTGGTACACCACCAGCGGCCACAACAGCACGCTCAGGACTGAACGAGAAAAAAACAGCGACAACTTTAAATTTATTTTACAAGTATAAAAGCAAGTAAATGCACACTGAGTGCACCATCAGCAGGTTTCCTGTTTGTCAGGACAAGCACACATTCCCATGTAAATTCATGGCTTAGTACAACTGTTTCTTGATGCAAATTGGGAAAGAGGTGACTCACCAATAATATAGGAGATCATGATTCCTGGTACATAATGCCCAACCCCAGCAAGTACAAAACAGCCGCTGCACATCATCACACAGAACTGGGAAACAAGAGCAAGTAAGACAAATAAGACACCTTCAAGCTGCACAGGGCATACTTACTTGGAAGTTTCTTTCCTTGTGTGTCAAAGTGCTGTACCTTGCCGTGGTTCTGTCGTTTGTACTGCAGCGTCTCCTGCAGGTACAGGGAGTAGGTCAGGTAGCTTTCAGCCAGGTGGTGGCTGAGCTCAGGAATACTGAGCAGATGCTGCTCCACACTCATCGCGTCACTGTGTGCAAACAGGAATAGACAACACTTGTAAAAGGACAAAAATCTATACATTAAGCGCTTCAGGCTGTACTGAAATGCTTGCAAAGAGGTAAAGTGAGATTCCTCAAGAATGTCAACAATACAACAGACTAAACTCGACTGGTAGCTTACAATTAGTTCTGATGATATGGTGCGACATGTGACGGAAATGTTTTAAACATAAATACAGACTTCACACTGTTGGAATTGAACGTATGCTCTTATTTTGAATTCGTTCAGGAAATCGAAACGGAGAGGCGTCTGGTCATCATGTACACACTACCTACCGTTGTTCAGTAGGAGCCTCTCCATGTTGAACTGCAGCAGGAGCAAAACACACAGTTAGCAACAATTAGGCCATTTGTTGCCGTTTGGTGTGATGTTTTAACATAAGGAAATGACAGAGAACATATTGGGGTAAATAATCCAAGAAAACCACAGCAGGAAAACTACTTCATCCACACTGACAAAAATCCTAGCAGGCTTCTCCATCCAGTGAAGGTACTGTGCCCACAAATATAGACTTAAACTGGCTCAGCAACAGGGAGCAATTGCTTAGGTAAAGAGTGACAAAGCCTCAGGGCCATATTAAAATCCCATTAGGGGCTTACTGGTAATGATGGGCAACTTGTGCTTCCATCTCTCCAGCAGCATCAGTCCCAGCAGGGACACACTCAACAGGAACAGAGGCCGCAGGGAGGTGGATGACAGGAGCCTGTGTGGAGATGCAGAAAACAACAGCACACAAACATATTAATATAAGAAACGAATGTCATGAAACTCACTTCCATGTTAAACTTAATAAATACATCCGCATGGCACATCTGTTGTCTGTAACTGACAGTTGGTGAACGAGGCCTGGGTCACTAAACTGTCTTGCAAGCTACGTTAGCATCATGCTAAAGACGTGGGATTAGCTAATTTATCCTCGCGGAGGTTAGCCAGCTAGCTAATGATGTTCAATGCGACCTCGTAGAGCTGTCAGAAAGGTGTGAAAAAAACGGGATTAAAACACGGTTTCGGTTACCAGAATAATGTGTTGAGTGTCAAGGCGACAGTGATGCTGTACAACGGCCTTTCCCAGACCAGCAGCCTCTGCAGCCACAGCAGCATGGACTCGTACTGCGAGAGAAAACCCTGAAGACGCTCCCGCAGGAGGACGAGCTCCGGGTTCACGTCCCCGCAGACCTGCCCCGAAGACCCCGCAGGGAACAGAGACTCCAGGCCAACCGAAGAGGAGGTAACCGAGGGGTATCTTCTGGCCTCCTCTTCGCTCGCCATGTTTCCCCCTACTTTGTTATGTTGTTTTGGATATCACAAGGTATATGGTAAAAACCACCATCAAGTGGTACAAACTTACAAATACTAAGCATCCGGTTGGGACTTTCAGAATAAAAACAATCGCCTTTGGCAACAGGTTAACAAAGTACCAAAGCAAAGATGATGAATAGAGTCATATTTAGTCAATGGAAATATAAGTTTTTGATCAATTTAAAGGTGTCTTAAAAATATCCAATATAATGATTTGCAATGATTTCATTACATTACATATATTTGATCAGGTACGTTTATTTTTTACTTTGAAGGCAATATTAATTTCCGGCCTTATTGTTGATTACTTCCGGCAGCTTGATGTCCTTAACGCACAGATGGGCGGACGGATCACAAGGCCCGTCACGGATGAGGAAAAAAAAAAAAAAAACAAAAAAAAAAAAAAAATATATATATATATATATATATATATATAGTCACGTGTTTCCTTGTTTTTAAACCTCAGGTGCACCACCGTGTGGTCAGAAATATGGCAGCAATGCATAAAGGTAAAACACTTGAGACCTGCAAAAACTCTTCCCAACACGTGCAGCCTCCTGCTACCACTTCAAGTACTGCAACTGCTATTATTGATCATTACCAGCAAGTTTTGATACAAATGTTTAATACAGAAATATACAGTGTTCATCAATTTGATCAAATGCAGCCGATATAGACATTGTGCTGGAGACCTATAGAGATTCATTACAGCATCAAGGTCAGCTCACTGGTATTATTGTTTCTTGAACACAGCACATAGATCACAAAAGGCATCTTAATGTAAAGTAGCGCAGTAAGGGGATTTTTCTTCCTGTTGTGATCTCTCATTTCAGTCTCAAGTTGATTTCTGAAAGACAGAAGCAAAAGCTACAATCATTCCACTCATCAACTATTATGAGTATCTTAAAAAGAAAAGGGCTTGAGAGGCCTACCTGGCTGTGTACAGGACTCAAGCGTACTCGGGTGGTAAAGGAGGGAAGGGGACCTGCTGTCCTCTGGTGCTAAGACATAAGGGCATCAATACCTGCAGGGGTTAAGACCATGGCCTGCAGCAGGTCAGACAGAGAGATGATGCCCTTCACCACGTCAGCCCTGTCCACCAGGACCAGCCGATGGACCTGGGGTAAGGAGGAAAAAGATAATGATTTCTAAATACCTTTTGATGTCATGACGAATAGAGACCACACTCTTTTCCTGCCTCAGCGTTGACCAGCCGGTCTATGATGGTTTCCAAGGTCTCATCAGGGTAGCACTTGATCACTCCCTCGACAAAACATGAGCGCCTGCGAACGGCCTCCTGCATCGGTATGTCCAGATTGTTGTAACTCTTCTGGGCTGCTAGATTCTGGAGCAAACACAGAAAACCTCAGCAAGGATGATAAACTTTAGGGTGTCGTACGGTGTACTTTGAGATTACAAATAGAGCCTTAGCTCCACAAAAACTGGGCAAGACACAGTACTTACAATCACATCAAATCTTGAGTAGAGGGACACCACTTTGCCTGAGAAAACAAATGATTGGATGCAGTAGGATACCCATTAACACTGATGAATACGGCTCTATAATGTAAAACATATTCTTAAGAGCACACCTTGTTCGTCCACCACGGGTAGTGCAGACACCCGCCTTTCCACAAAAATGGCGAGGGCATCATAAATCGTTGCCGTTTGCTGAACAGTGGCGATGTTCCTGAAAGTTCCGATCCCGAGCTCCTGGATCTGCCTTCCCATGAACGCAGGCTTGGGAACTTTTCTTTCCTGAAAAACACCCAGACCACACCGCAGCAGAAGAATGTTAATGCATGCAGACATAAAGAACAGGTAGGTAGATCCCCCATGCTAAACATCTTGCTTGCTCACAAATATGTGGAGGAACTTGAGGATTCTTTTGTGGGTGAGAATGTGCAAGACGTTTCCAGACTGTGGATCCATGACCGGCAGCCTGTGGATCTTATACTTAAGTAAGAAATAGATGGCATCAAAGAGGCTAACAGGAAAGAGGAGAGGAGACAGTTTACTGCTAGTAGACTGAAATGTAAATTAAGTTTTCATAGATCACATCTGAGAGTGTTACCTGGCCTCTGGAGAAATACTAATGAGGATGTGATTGGAACACTGCAGGTAGACATCTAGACAGAAGAAGACAGAGAGCTCTCATGCTAACTCACAGAGGTGCTCATCCGTGCTGGTTATTTACTTTGAAATGAATCACCTCTCCATGTCTCGATCTTGTGTCTCTCCAGCTCGTACATTTGAACCTTTCAGAGGGAAACCCAAAATGTCAAGTCATGAAACACCAAGCGGGTCAAATCAAACACTGCAACCCTTTAAAACCTTCTGTAAAGAGTTCCACACGGTGTTGCTTGTATCTGTGACATACGAGTTATAATAAAAAGATTATAATAATGTCTGATATATGATGGCCATACATAGTTTAGTCATTCTCACCATAGGGGACCTGTAATAGTAATGGAGGATGTTGATGAAATCTGTAATAGTCAGCATACCTGTGAAAGCAAATGATTTGTGTTCGCATTATTATAAATTCACAGTGACTAATACTTCACTATGACTATTCCATTAATCCCTCGTCTTACCCACAAATCTCTGCAACTTGCTGTCCCATAACGGCGCCGCCCTCAAGCCATTTGCCACCAGTGCAAAAAAGGCCTTTTTCACCTTTGGAAGTCAGAATTTCACACAGTCGGTGAGGAGTTACAAGCAAAAAAAAAAAAAAAAAAAGACTCACAAGTTGCATTTCTTACTTGTAGTTTGGTATCAAATATGACCAGTTTACAGCTGGTTGGAATGGCATCATAGCAGCTGTGACTTTTCATGAAATTCATGTAGACTGTGGCATCAGCCTCTGTGAGGAATCACATTATACCACGTTATATATGGACACATGCATTCATACACCTGCAAGCAGGCACGGACGGCACGGATCCCTTTACTCGCATGTGTTCATGCTCACATGTGCGCTAGTGATTGCAATTGTACCTTGTTTCTTCATTTCCTGCCTCTTCTCTGGGAGTGACACCTACAACAGAGCAAGCGAAACAACATTCTCCACATGACATTGTCAGAATGGTTTGAAATATGCTCAACCCAAAGCAACATTTCACCTGTGAGGGAGGCTCCATGATTTCTGTTGTGTGTCCATGAAAAAGTGGGGATTTCAAAAGCAGCAGACGCAAAGTGCTGGTGGCTGCGCTGGGTTTGTTTACCCTTTCCTCCAAAAAGCCCGTCGGGTCTATATAAGGAGCTCTCAAGTGGCATGTGTCAGGCCAGAGGCGCAGGGGAGGGGTGAGAGAAAGAGAGAGAAGCTGGAACAGGATCAGGGGGGGGAGGGCCACTCAAGGTTCTGCCAGAACCAGATATCTGCTCCCCCTTCCCTTTAAAAGGCACTCACCTTCATGCATTTATTACCATCTCAGATCACATAAAGTCGCCCTCATTTACTGGCTTCGGTGGCGTCGAAGTAATCCTTGAAGATGATTTGTGGAGGCCTGCTATGTGAGAAATTAAAATGGCATGAAATCCTGCTCTATATGGAGTGAATGTCAAGGCTTCACCCAGTTGAAGTCTTTCCAAGAGCCATAAGTTCAGAAGCGTACTGTCTGCTCTCAACTTGTGACAGTAGTTTTGAATGATTCACACTATGATGTTGACTAAGACAAATGTCACAAAGAAATGCTTCCTTTATTAGCTCCCGTTTTCTTTTTACAGATTTGTACAATATTTGCATTTTGTACAAAATGAAAGGACTTCGTGCTGTATCAAATTCAAACGCTCCGAGCCGGTTTGTGAAAGTTTTTTTTTCCAGATTATTAAAGTCAACGTCTTCCAACAGCTCTGTGCACAAACAGAAGTCTATTTAAAAGACACACTTGCCAACACTGTAACGGTGGAGTGAAATGTCCAACAAAGAAACACTGCTGTTGGCCTGTAGCAGGAAGTTCACTTCAAAAAACACCCGCCACAAACCCAATAGAAATAGCACATCCTCTCTATAAAGACCTATTCCCATTCGAGCATGGGAAACTTCTAGCTTGACCTCTTAAATGTCCACACATTACCATATTAGTGCCTTTAAGATTATGCGACATCCTGTTCCCACATAAAAGAAAAACGAGACCTTTTACGCTATAAGTGAGCAGAATAGGAGGAGTCGGTGGTTATTTTTCAGTGTGGCCAACGACCGTGACACCGAGGTATGAAGTCTACTTCCCTTCCTTGATGCTTTCACCTGAATACACTTTGTTTCACTAACAGTAACCTGGTGTACAATATCAGTGCTTGCTGCATGGTTATGACCATTGTCTGATATAAAGCTTGACGTGCATGAATGAAAAATAACTGCATACTAAGCAAATATGGATGAGCCTAAATTAAGTAGACAAAGTAAACTGGTCTAGTCCCTTCTTCTCACAGAGCCCCTTCATGAAAAAATAAACTGTGAAACCTCCACACACTTTCATCAACTTGCCAAGCAGCAAGCAAATATTACAGCTGTAATATAATAACTCAAAGGCCCTACACCACCACCCGAGGGGTCTGAACCTTCAATGATTAAATGTGGCCGACAAAACATATCAAACTACCTTCAAACTCCTTGTGATATTCTCTGCATTTAAAAACAAGATGCAGCGCATCGACTGTGGCATTGTATTTATGGCAACTCTATTCTGCAGTGCTGAGCGACACCTCTACCGCGTTGTCAAATTCGCACTCTGTCTGTGAACAATACTCAGATCTGGAGAAGTAAACAAAACATGACTTGAAGCAGTGGATGAGCCATGGAATCAATGCTGGTTTCCATTTCCAGAGTCCATTCGTACAGGTTGACAGCAGTGGAGTTTTGCCGGTCACTAGCCGGGCATGATCAGTGCTTGGGCTTTATCGACAGGTAACATGGACTTTGGGTGGCAGGGTCCCAGCTGTATAGGGGGAAACACCCCCAGGCGAGAGTTCAGACTTGACTCCGCCCCTCCGAGGAGGCTGGGGGCCAGCCACGGTGCATGACGCCGATGGTTATCAACGGGGCCGTGAGCGAAGACTGTTGAGGTGTTTCTAAGCCCGCACTGAAGAGGAGGGAGGGATGCGAGACAGCCAGGACAGAAGAAGGAGACAGAAGACCAGGTTTGGGGGGTTTCTACATCAGAATCAGTTTCAGGGTGTATGTGACCCATTGAGGCAAGGAGAGAGCCCCAGAGACACAGTACTGAGGTATGCGAGGAAGCCGATGGGGGACTTTGTAAGTGGTCCTGGACGATTCCAAGTGCACCGGTCTGGCGGTTGAGACTCTTGTTGGCCAGAACGCAACAGGGGAGGCGCGTGGCTGCAGAAGGAGCTTCTTCAGTCGGGTTGGCGGTCTGAAGGTCCGGGCTAATCTCAGCTGGAGGTGGGAGCAGCGACGAGCCGCTTCTGGAGAGACTGAGCTGGTGCAGCACAGCGCTGGTGGCAATGAGGCCAGCCACACTGGTCAGATACACCAGGCCCAGCATACAGGAAACCTGAAAATACAATAACGTTAGATTTGATGCCATTGTTGTTGCAATGTTTGCCTATAAATCTCCTCTCCATTCAGCTAAAATCCCCTCCTCACCTTGGTAAAGTGCTGGTAGATGGCTGTGAGGGCTTGACTCCACGCCGACTGCTCCAGTAGCACACAGAGGTCCGTATAAGTGAACCAGCCGCGTTTCATCCCCTGCCGCTCTGCAATGCTGGTGATACAGAGGCCACAGTCAGGAATACGTTGTTGTTTTTCACACATAAAGTTTAGTGTAAGTTTTCAGACTACCAACCTGGTTTCCAGTTGACTCAGTATATCAAATAAGTCATTTGGCTCCGTGAACAGGCTCCACTCCTAGAAGATATAGGACACAATGGTTGGGACGAAGAACTTTATCCAAATCACATCAAATTCAAATGCACGCACACACACACTTACAATGGCATTCAAGAAGTTAATCTCCAGGTTATTGACGGTTTTGACGTCTAACTTCCCAGCTGCTCCCCACTCATCGTTGAAAACCTCTTCTTCCTCTCCTTCGTCATACAGGTACTTGCTGGCAACCATCTAGTTCAGAGAGATCAGAGTGTTCATCATTGCAATACAAATAAACTCACTTTCTTAACTGCAGTAAAGGACCCAAAATGCTGGGAAGATACGCATCAAACTCCATTCTGACATGAGCAGCGACCAAGCCAGAAATACCAGTGACACATTTGGATTGACCTTTGAACCCAACACACATACCATGGAGATCAGGAAGAGGTCAGAGGAGGAGATCTTTTGGAGGTACTCAGGGTTTCTATGTCGGAGCCTTTCGATGTAAACTAGAGCCAGCATCATGGCACACGGAGAGATGCAAGCCTCCCTGAAGCAAAAGAAAAATTGTGAAAGGCAGTGCTACATTTAGTTCCTGTAAGAATCCATACATGCATGCACCCTACAAAGTACACACCTGGAAACATGTGCGGCATACTTCTTCTGGAGCTTGCGTATTGGGCTTGGGGCAGACTTCTGGAATATTTCAACAGCGATATCTGGAATGACAGAAAGCAAAAGAGACAAACGTGAACTTGCGTACAATCGCTATCGATCTAAGATTAGAAGTGTTTCATGTACATGGAAGCTACATAGGGGCACAACTGTTAAGTTGTCCCAAACATGTTTTAGTCAGCACTAAATCCTCCTTTCTTTACATTGACCAAGTAAAGAAAGTCTGGAAAAAAAAATTGTATATCCAGTTCTTCTTCTGAGGGTGTGTCGGGGAGGAGCTAAAGCTAGTTTAAAAGCTAACTCACCTGTAACAGGGCATGAGAGGGCATCTAAAGAAACGTCTTTGTCCAGGCCATAATACAGTCGCTTTCTCACTCGTTCACTCAGCTTCTGGTGTCCAGGAAGAAACTGTAAAAGAACAACGCTGGCGTTAGCTTACTTGAACTGTAGAGCTAGTTGTGGAAACAAAGCAATATGTGTAAACACTTCCATTAACACTAGCTTATGAGTTAACCTCGTAGTTTACTGCAGCTGGTACTAATTTACGACACTGTAACGTTAGCTAAGCTAGGGAGCTAGCGTTGCTTTACGTCTTTTTTTATTAAGGCTTTTTAAATGACACATTGTTTTGCTTGGATTATAAACACTATTCGAAGTCACTTAGCATTAGCTAAATTAGGTCGTAGCTAGGTCACCGGTCAGCATATTTGGACAAGAGATCCAACAGCGGACGTAAACATCAGCTAGCTGAGCTAATGCTGCTAGCGTTAGCTTCCGTAGTTTGTTGACCTATCGTGGTCGTAACGCAAAAACGTACCGTGAACTCCTGGAAGTCCGAAAACTGAAACGTATTTTCGTTAAACAAAGCGTCGAAATCCATATCTACTGTAGATTGAACATCAGTCCGCTAAAACGTTGAAAAAGACGACTGTTTGCCCCCCACCGGAAAAAGTAGAGCTCCGACAGCAACACGCCCTGACCTGAGACAGTTCTTTCTGCAGCTCGCATTATTGACACATTAGCGCCATCTGCTGGAGATACGGCACACCTACAGTGTCTTCTTCTGCATTTTTGGTGGCTTGCGATACCTAGGTCTATACCGCCACCTAGCGTACCGGAATATAAACAATTTATAATGTTATGATTTGTTTGCCATATTTTGTCTGTTTCCTCTTTTTGTTTTTGTTAAAATGGCTAAAATGTGAACCGATTCTAGTTGATACAAGCAAATGGTTCAGTTTAGTTTGGTTATGGTTTGGCCTGATGATAGTTCATGAATAATCACAATGTTGCAGTTAAAACCTGATGTTATTATGGAAGTCTAAATAGTCTGGACATTCAGCTTTTATTTTGATACATTTCTGCCTTTATCCATCACTTTCATTTGCAGCATTAGAGGAAAAACTTTGAGAGACACAGATAGAAAAAAAACCAACTTTTTTTAACCTTTTATTTCTGGCGTCACAAATGGAATATCACTTGATGAAAACTGATGATTTACAAAAATGAAAATCAAAAATACATTTTGTGAAGCAGAAACAAAACATCAAAATTATTGCAAATTGTTATTCAGAAATAGTGTATATGACTGTATATATATTACATTCATTACAAATAATGGTGGGTATTATTAGCTTGATTGTACGTCTTTTTCATGGCAGATATTTTGACCTTTAATGCAGCAAAAGGAGATCAGACTGATAACTTGGCTCCATAACATCCATGTACCACGTTATATGCAAGTATAAGTAAGTCTGAAACGATTTTTAAGAAATCACACTAATTCTAACCTTTACTTTTTGTGTATTCGTTAAACCTCGTCAACAATTTAGAAGACGCAATGATCAGACGAGGAACACACCCAACTTTACCTTAGTGATCAAAGTTATAAAGACGCTTACACTATAAAAAAAAAGTATTTTCATAACTTAAGCTCATAATTTAAATAACAGTAGAACTCAGAAATCTACTACCAAACAGCTAAATAAAATCCCTGACATTTTGTATACCAAAGAATGAACTGTCACCCCTGAGTGTTTCTTATTCCCTCCCTTCTGTACCTTTGAATCATTTATGTCAGGTCATAGACTATAAAGTTAATGCTTGTTTAGCTTTTTGTAGACAGCATAAACTAACTAATGTCAACATTGAATATGAAAAATAAAGGCAACATTAAAAAGGTGTCAGGAGTGATTTATAAAACAATAATATCCTCAAAACAAACAAAAAAATGTAAACACTCAGGGTGTCGCCCTGATAATGGCATGGGACAACATGAACTAATTTACATTATTTAGCTTCGTAATAAAGGTTTGAACTTCCAATGTCCCTTTTTAATGATTTGATCTTTTTGCCCCGTCCCTACATACAGTTGTGTGAAAAAGTGTTTGCCCCCTTCCTGATTTCTTATTTTTTTGCATGTTTGTCACTTAAATGTTTCAGATCATCAAACAAATTTAAATATTAGACAAAGATAACACAAGTAAACACAAAATGCAGTTTTTAAATGAAGGTTTTTATTATTAAGGGGAAAAAAAAAATCCAAACCTACATGGCCCTGTGTGAAAAAGTGATTGCCCCCTAAACCTAATAACTGGTTGGGCCACCCTTAGCAGCAACAACTGCAATCAAGCGTTTGCGATAACTGGCAATGAGTCTTTTACAGCGCTGTAGAGGAATTTTGGCCCACTCATCTTTGCAGAATTGTTGTAATTCAGCCACATTGGAGGGTTTTCGAGCATGAACCGCCTTTTTAAGGTCATGCCACAGCATCTCAATCGGATTCAGGTCGGGACTTTGACTAGGCCACTACAAAGTCTTCATTTTGTTTTTCTTAAGCCATTCAGAGGTGGACTTGCTGGTGTGTTTTGGATCATTGTCCTGCTGCGGAACCCAAGTGCGCTTCAGCTTCAGGTCACGAACAGATGGCCGGACATTCTCCTTCAGGATGTTTTGGTAGACAGCAGAATTCATGGTTCCATTTACCACAGCAAGTCTTCCAGGTCCTGAAGCAGCAAAACAGCCCCAGACCATCACACTACCACCACCATATTTTACTGTTGGTATGATGTTCCTTTTCTGAAATGCCGTGTTACTTTTACGCCAGATGTAACGGGACATACACCTTCCAAAAAGTTCAACTTTTGTCTCGTCAGTCCACAGAGTATTTTCCCAAAAGTCTTGGGGATCATCAAGATGTTTTCTGGCAAAACTGAGACGAGCCTTTATGTTCTTGTTGCTCAGCAGTGGTTTTCGTCTTGGAACTCTGCCATGCAGGCCATTTTTGCCCAGTCTCCTTCTTATGGTGGAGTCATGAACACTGACCTTAATTGAGGCAAGTGAGGCCTGCAGTTCTTTGGATGTTGTTCTGGGGTCTTTTGTGACCTCTTGGATGAGTCGTCGCTGCGCTCTTGGGGTAATTTTGGTCGGCCGGCCACTCCTGGGAAGGTTCACCACTGTTCCATGTTTTCGCCATTTGTGGATAATGGCTCTCACTGTGGTTCGCTGGAGTCCCAAAGCTTTAGAAATGGCTTTGTAACCTTTTCCAGACTGATGGATCTCAATTACTTTGTTTCTCATTTGTTCCTGAATTTCTTTGGATCGCAGCATGATGTCTAGCTTTTGAGGATCTTTTGGTCTACCTCACTTTGTCAGGCAGGTCCTATTAAAGTGATTTCTTGATTGAGAACAGGTGTGGCAGTAATCAGGCCTGGGTGTGGCTAGAGAAATTGAACTCAGCTTTCCAAAGATGTGATAAACCACAGTTAATTTATGTTTTAACAGGGGGGGGGGGGCAATCACTTTTTCACACAGGGCCATGTAGGTTTGGATTTTTTCCCCCCCTTAATAATAAAAACCTTCATTTAAAAACTGCATTTTGTGTTTACTTGTGTTATCTTTGTCTAATATTTAAATTTGTTTGATGATCTGAAACATTTAAGTGTGACAAACACTTAAAAAAATAAGAAATCAGGAAGGGGGCAAACACTTTTTCACACAACTGTATAAACCTTGGCCATAACTACAACAAATACCTATAAAACGTATTTCTTGTGGTACATTTGGACTCGACCACATTGTTTGTGCCTCCTCAGTTTGGTTAAGGCACCTCCCCTTTCCTCCATGACCTGCTGTTGTACATTCAGTTTCAGTAAAAAGTAGAGTTCTTCTAACCCCAACAAAAAACAAATTCAGACCACAACATTCAGTGGCCGTGGTGACCTGAGGAGGTTGATGGCGGCTGCAGTTTCTCAGACTTGAGGTCTTTGGCTTCCGTGTCTGACGAGGAATCGGAGTCCTGGGCCTGCTGTTGCCTCATCCACATGTCCGCATACAAGCCTCCCTTGACGAGCAGTTCCTCGTGTCTTGGATGGAGAAGACAAAAAGCGAGTCACTTGAAGCTCAGTGGGAAAAAAGGCGGATCGGCAGTATGACTTTCAGAACAACAGGTCACACGCTCACCTTCCTCGCTCAGCGATGCGGCCATCGCTGATCACCAGAATCTGGTCCGCTCCGATTATAGTGGACAACCTTTTTTATACAGAGAGAAAAAAAAAAAAAAAGAGATTCACACCACTCTTTAGATAACACTGAAACAAAAGGAAACAGAATAAATGAAAACCTTTCAGAATAAAACACACACAGCACATCGCTCACCTGTGAGCTACAACAACTGTTGTACGGTTGATGCACACTTTAGCCAGTGAGGTCTGGATGTTGCGCTCCGTCTGCGTGTCTAGTGCAGATGTGGCCTGCAGAGAGACATTATTTGTCACAACTGAAAATAACAGCAGTAACTTAGCCTCTCAAAGTGGAGTGACAGTGGAATACGTTGGAGAAATAAGTGGCGGCAGACGTTTCCAAGACTTTAATCCCAAAATTCATTGTTGTCCACTCAGGCATCACTGCTCCTTTTTGTAATCTCACCTCATCCAGCAGGATGATCTGTGGTGCTTTGAGGATTGTTCTGGCGATAGCCACCCTCTGCTTTTCCCCTCCGCTCAGCTTCAGACCTCTTTCCCCCACCTGCGTATCGTAACCTACCGGGAAAAAAAAAACAAAACACAGGTTGGTGGTTAAAAAAACCCCAAACTACTGGGGGGGATTAACATCCCTCACATCACTTTGACAGCAGGAGGGCTACTCTCTAACTCACCGTCGGGGAAGGTCATGATTTTATCGTGTATATCGGCAGCCGCGGCGGCCTCCTCCACCTCCTGGTCACTGGCAGAGATGCGGCCGTACCGGATGTTGTCCCGGATGGTGTCGTTGAAGAGCACCGTGTCCTGGGGGACCACGCCGATGTGCGCGCGCAGAGATCTCTGCTTCACCTGAGGAAAGACAATGAAGGCGAAGTGAAGACACCCGTAAAGCTATATTAAATGATGCCGTAGTTCTGGTGCCAAACATCTACTTTTGATATGTCCTGCCCGTCGATGCTGATGCAGCCTCCATGGACGTCATAGAAACGGAAGAGGAGTCGCATGATGGTGCTCTTCCCGGAGCCGGATGGTCCCACCTGGGGAGATTAAGAGGACATGACACACAGTCCTAACAGAGCACGGGCACTTTGACTGTGTTGGTGATTTGAATTGAAGTTGCTCCTCACCAGCGCACACGTCTGTCCTGGAAGCACAGTGAAGGAAACATCGTTGAGAATCTCCTTGCTGGAAAACAGTGAGGAGGAGAGAACTGAGTCTTGTAAAAATAAAACCAACAACAAATTTTAACAGCAATTTCAGTACACGTGAACCAACCCATTGACGTAGCTGAAGTAAACGTTCTCAAACTCCACCGTTCCCTTTTTGTACTGAAGACTCCCGGCATTTACTTCGTCTTTCACCTGCACGAGAGAACAAACACGGAACGTATTAAAAAGCGGATCATAATACAGACTTTGAAGTAAAAAAAACGCGGAACAATCGGCTTCAAAAGTACCTCTTCGTCCTCTTCGAAAAGTTTGAACATGCTTTCCATGTCAATGAAAGAATTCTGGATCATTCTGCAATAAAGAAAATAGAGCCGACATGATTATTTGATTATAATTATTATATTATCAACCGATCTCAATGCAGCGACTTCTTACCTGTAGTAGGTACCAAACCAGTTGAGGGGGGTGTACAATTGGATGATGTAGGTACCAAAAAGAACAAAATCTCCAACCTGAGAGACGAGGATTTCACATTCCGATCAGTAAAACACGTCACTTTGCGTATCATTAAGCATCGCGTCGACGTGGTCCGTACCTGAAACTTTCCTTCAGTCACAAAGTAGGCACAGAGCAGGGAGCCGGCCAGCAGGCCCGCTCCGATGATGAGGTTCTGGGTTTGGTTGAGGAAGGCCAGGGACGCCTGGGTCTTCCACTCAGACACCTAAAAACAGGAGGAGAGATCCATCAGATGCCTGTATGGGCTGGTTGAAAATCAACTACCAACTACTGATTTGCTTGTACACATGTAATGACTTTAGACAAATTCATGTCCGGATGGACACTTGTCCGACTTGCCTGGTATTTCAAGATGGCGTCCTCGAAACGCCCGACCTCGTAGTTCTCTGCATTGTAGTATTTCACCTAAAAAAGAAACAAGTGTGAAATCTTGGAATAATGGAAAACTCATCTACGAGCCGAAATTTGAGACGGACGGCAAGCTGTTCGACGTACCGTCTCAAAGTTTAACAAGGAGTCCACAGCCTTGGTCTTGGCGTTGTTGTCCTGCAGATTCATGTCTCGCCTGTACTTGGTTCTCCATTCGGTGATGATGATGGTCAGAGCTGGTGGGAAGAGATCAGGAGATCAGAAATCTTTCAAGGAATGTCTTACCTGGCGATATGTTCAACGAAACCCTTTATTAACTGATATAGAATCTTGGATTGCTACGTTTCAACATGCACTACTTACTGAGGTACAGCGCCATGCAGACGAAGACGATAAGGCCGAACCAGGCGTTGAAGTAGGTGATGAAGTAGATGATGGAAATGACAATATCAGCCATGGTTGGGACGATGCTAAACACTATGTAGCTGTGGGAAAACAAAAAGGGGCAGGTGAGTTCATTTTCACTTCAAATCCAAGGATACAATTTCAGGAAAGTTATGTGTTTAGGGGGGGGGGGGGAGACCCCATCCACCCAAAGCCGTCTCACCTGAGCAGGCTGTTAATGGACGAGGTGCCGCGGTCGATGCTTCTCAGCACGTCGCCGGTTTTGCGGCCCAGGTGCCAGCGCAGGGAGAGCGAGTGCAAGTGGCTGAACAGACGCACCTGAACCACGCGGTTGGTGTACTGCTGCACCCGGATCCACAGGAAAGAGCGCAGGTTGCTGATGAAACCCGACGCGCCTGGGAAGAAATGTCACGTGCAATGTGATCAGGGACATAAAATCAGGGTGCAGTATCACTTGTAGAGCGTCTGTGTGTGTTGGTCCTACCTGCACCGCCGCCCTGCATGAACTTGAGCAGGACATAAATGCACACTGTAGTAGCCAGAGTGCGCCAGCTGCTGCCATCAGTCAGTTCATTCACTGAGAGAGGGACAAAGACATTAAGGTAGATGAGAAAAGAAAAGTCAGGCGGTCAGGTATTTGGCTTGAAGATAAGGTAGATTAACAAGACGATCAATGGGACAGCGGCATCCTCTGATAGCGGGGTATCTTATATTCTTCTCTCTGGCCCTCTGGAGGCCCTCAGCTATCAGGAGAAGGATGTCTCCATTTTATCACATCCTGAGGATGTCTGCTGGGTCTATATTGAACGTTACTTCGTCATGTTTTTATGTGGCTCTGGAAGCTCAAACTGAATAAATGAGAAACACACCATCAGTTCGGTGCTGAGCTTGCCGAAGCGGCTCATTGAACTTGAGAAGCAGCTCTGGAATAAACAAAGACATGCCCCTCACCAATATTCTTGTAGTAAATGGGTACAAAGACGTTGATCGCTCTCTCGATTCCCAGCAGCGTCAAACAGAAGATGACCAGAAGCTGGAGGAAGACGTTGCCCTGGGGCCACATGTAGGGAACGAGCACGCGGACCTTCTTCCTGAAACCCTGCCAGGTAGACTGGTTCTCTTCTGCTCCGCCCAGAAGGCTCTGAGACAGAGAAAAAGATTGAATACTTAACACAGCACATTACTAAATAGGAGCGTCCCAGGGGAGCTTGCAAGTCGCTCACCTGTCCGCTGTTCTCTACGTCCCGCTCGTCTTCGTTTATCAGCAGCATGTATGGCCTTCGTGGCAACCCTGGAGCTTTGAGACCGATGAAGAAGAGCAGCCCGGTGCCGATGTAGCGCGTCAGCCACAGAGCGAACTGCACCTGAGGGGATCATTGGTATTAAAAACAGATCAATATGGACACCAGTTGATCAGCATTTATGCTCATAATGCAGCTTTGTATTAGAAAATGACGAAACTGATGACGGAATTAATGTCATTTACAATACAATGACAAAGCCTCTGGGAAATTGACATCAATATGTAAGAAGTTATTATTATAAATGATACAATATCTATTCAAGACTGTTTTTTAAAGGGTTTTAATGAGGTTTCGTACTGCATATCATAAAACTTTAAAAATTCAGGACAGATAAAATAATACAAAGAACACAAACAAGTCAAGTCATGCTTACAGTTATATAACAGGAAGTTAAGGTACTGACTCAGTGTGGGAGGGGCAAGACTGTGTCTTACGATTTGATTGGTTAACCGTGGATCTGATAGTCAGACTGAGCAATGACTCAACAAAAAAACCAAAAAAAAAAGAAAAAAAAAGAGGCTCCAGTCTCACCCTCACTAACATTGGTGTTAAAGATGGTTTGCATGCCTGCCTGCCTTTGTTATAATCAAAACAAGACAGGCTGCTTGGAGTGGTAGGTGGGTGTCAAACCTACATGTATTCTTTACTGTGACACTAACCTTTGGCCCATTAGCCTGTTAAAGCAAACATCGCCCACATTATCAAACAACATTAACAGAAATGATAACGAGTTGTATCATTGTGTAGAATAAGGACATGGATGGTGGATCAAGATTAGAGAAACTTTTACCTGAATAGATAGGAATGAAGATAAAGTACATAGAAATAGAGTCTTTTTTGGGGGTTATTTTTAGAACTTATGGTGAAAAAGAAATGTGTCTAATGTGACATTTGATCTCTCCTTACCTGTTTTTGACTGTTCTCCAGGCCCCACCACCAGTGCGGACTGTACCAGGAGACGAAGGCCAAGTTCTCCGCTGAGAACGCCACGGCCCAGAACAGCAGCAGGGCCACGCTGTGGCCCCTCGTCCGGTCCATCAGCAGGGCCCGACGTCTCTCCACCCTGAGCAGGGCGATAGTCCACGCCCAGCCCAGCGCAGAGAAGCAGCCGTACAGCACCACATAACCCGGGAGCTCTCCTCCGCTGGCAGCCCGCCACACCGTCCCACCCAGGGACTGGACGAGCAGGAGGACGGAGACGGCCAGCTGGAAACCGTAGAGGCGGGAGCGCGGGATGAACTTGGGCTCCATTGCTGTGCCATACTTCTGGTAGAATATGAAGTGGACGGTGCCGAGGAAGAAGGAGATGGTGAGCAGGATGGAGGGGACCAGCGTGAAGTAGAAGCAGGGGGAGATGCCTTCATCCACCCAGGTGCGAGAGATGGAGGAATTGACTTCACAGTAGCCCTGCATGAACACCATGGCTGCAGCTGGGGAGAGACAGAAAGCACAGATATAGTGCAACATTCAATGTCCAGAGCACTGCAGGAAATTGCTGTTGTTATGTTGTTTAACAACAGCCTCTCTACACACTTGCAGGGGTGAAACATATCTCTGCCATATTAGGCTGCGGAGTTCGGAGATATCTTTAGTCGCTGAGTCATGGTTTACGGTAAGCTGCTGGTTGTAAATGAACGTACCACCACACATTACCAAAATCTAACATATTTGGGGAGGGCAGAGCAGTTTACAGAGACACTTTAACACAAACGTGTGAACTGTTGCCGTTATACCAACTCCAACATCGTTCATATTGAGACAGCAAGCAGGGATTTAACACTATTAGCATACATGTCAGAGGCTCTACACATAAAGTTAGTTAGTTGTAAACTTACCGTATGTTATGTCAACTTCTGTCACCTCAACGACGCAGACACCTTGTCATTAACAGAGGTTACTCCAGAGAAGCTAGCAAATCCACTAACAGCTATTAGCTGTTACCTATATTAATCGGCTTTACCCAGCTTTAATACAAACGTGACGAACTGATGAGAGTAGCTGATAAGTGATACACAGCCAGCCGTCTGTTATCGCTACCATCAACTGTGTGTTATCATGCTGTCACGGATGTTGTCCTTGTCGCGCGCATGCTGGTTAAACAACTCCGATCGATGACTCGGCAATCGACACTTTACGCAACAGTGTTCGACTGCACGGCCTGTCGGCAGCCTGAACATGGACATAAAACCATAAAAACAGACGCTCAGCGCCCCCTAGAGGTTGAAAACGGACCGGATTCATGGAGACCGGACCCCACAAAGAGGACAAAATAACCTGATATAAGAACTATGAAGATATTTTAGGTAAAAGTACAGAACTAGGTTATTGCCAGCAAACGTATGTAAAGGATTTTAAGCAAAAGTACTCAATATGAATTATATTTTTCATATATAATTTGAATATTTTTACTGATTCATTAACTTGTGCGTTTTTAAAACTACTTATTATACTGTTGGATAGTTCGATCAATACAAATAATTTATACTTCATATGTTTTGGATTCAACTTTGTTGTAAACAGTAAATGTAGTGGAGTAAAAGGGGCAGTGTGTCCCTCTGAAATGAGTGTAAAGTAAGTAAATTACCTCGAGCAAATCTAGTTACATTTCACAACTGGAAATTAATTACAGTTCATTAACAGTTCAATGAAAAAGAGCAAAGCTAAACCCATATGATCTAATGTACTTTTATAGTGATAATGCTATAATTAAGCCAACAGTGTGTCACTTATTTTTAATTGAGATTACATGTACGTCACAAACCAAGCACTGATATACAAAACTCAAAATTATGGTATGTATCTTTTACAATGGACTGTGTGAAAAAAAACATCATATCTGGAAAAAACGAGAGCTTGCAGTGTTACACAATGATCAGTAGATGGCACTAAATACTAAGGTATAATCAGAGGAAACAGCTGTATGCAACAGAGTCATATATGAACAATAGCCAATAAAATCTCCATGTCCCACATGAGACACAGGTGGTGAGAAAAGCTAATCCTGGAGATGGAACTTAATAATACATAATAGCATGATATCAATGCTAACGCTGTGTCATTTTTCACTGCCATATGAAGTGAATGAGTGATCAATGATTATAGAAACAAGTGTGCCTATTCCACCGAAAAAAGAGCCATCAAGGCAACACGTGAAGAAGTCTTTCAGTGATGAGAGGGTTTAAGTTAAGAGCTTTTCCCATCAAACGGTAAAGTCAGGGTTTAGTACAAAGACGGGAAGTGACTCAAAAGCCATCTGTCGTGTCTGTCCTTCCTCTGAGGATGAAAAAAAGACTCGGCAGAAAAAAAAGTGTATGTGTGCGTCTGTGTGTACCTGCATGTGAGGGAATAAAAAAATGGGAAGCGTATCCTAATGTGGAAGAGGAAGGAGCTTACACTTGCACATGCACACACACACACATAGGACACAGGCTGGGATGGAAAAAGGGGTAAATCTTATCATTTAGAGCCTTCACAATGGGCATAAAGAGCTGCTAATCTGCTTCATCTCCCCGGCTCTTTTGTGTGAGTGGAAATGGACCTTCTGTCCGTCGGCTGCTTGAAACCCCGCTCTTTTGTCTCCCAGTGGATGTGATGGCCTGCCCATCACAGACCCCTCATCTCTCTCCACCTCAGCATACAGGCTCAGCTGGAGCCCCATAAGTCCGTTAGGTGTGTCTTTTCTTGTCTTCAATCCCACCGTTTTCTCTCATTCTCATTTATGCTTCTTTGTCCACTCGAAGCCGCCTGACACTTGATGGACGGTAACAGGCGGGGGATAAGACGCATGTGTGTGCCAATCTAATCCCTTGATTTAGTGAGAAGAGAATACTGGTGGCGTTAGGAATGCTACGTCCAATCTCATTAGTACTGAGGGCGATCAATACAGCTTTGGGTTCCGCTGAATGTAGTATTCACTGAAGGATTGGGCTTTGTGATTGCAGTTCTTAGCAGTAGCTCAATGGCAGATGACCTTTGTTACCTTTAATACTCACGCTTCAGCCACCAGCTATTGTGTGGTGTTCACATGCACTATTGCTTTGCTTCCAATGGTGCAGCATCATAATGATCAGATTTTCCAATGAGGATTAACAAAGGTAGCTCTTGTGTTATTTAGAAAATTTGAAAGCGCGATGCTCCATCGCATTGTGTTCGCGCCACAGCTTCACCCTCACTACTCCTGTGTGTTTCAAGCTTATCTGCCAGAACCAGCCCCGCAGTTAGAATCACACAGAGATTTTCCTGGAAAAAAACAAAACAAAATGTGCTCAGAGTTCTTGGTTCAGACACGCGGTCTAGACTCTTCCTTTCACCCGCATGCTGACGGCTGTGTGCAGGGGAATTCTCCATCCATGAAGTTTTCAACCGGTTTCATCATTATGGTACTTGAGTGAAAGGATCACCTCCAGTTTTTGAGTCGAGGCACTCTCGACTGACAGATTTTCTGCGAGGGGGTAATAAAGAATGGGATGCTCTTATTTATTTTTTGATACTTTATGAATGTAACTCAGAGCCTTTAAACGGGTGATGGCTCCTCAGCACATGGGGTCGATGACCTCTGGCTTAAGAGCTGTTTGAAAGAGCTTTCCACCTGGAGAGACTTTCCACTTGGCCTGCTGAGCTTGACATTGTACCTCTGAGGTTGAGCTTGAACCGTCCAACCCTGGCGTCCAACAGTTCAGCCACCGTCTCCCACTGTGACGAGAACAGGGCATGCAGGGGATAAGATCTCCCCATCCAACTGCTCTTGATAAACACAAAAGGGGCTGCCTCCACTGCCGCTGAACTATGCGCCCTCGCCACAGTGGTCATCTACGCAGAGAGGCTCGGGGGGGGAAAGGCAGAAGGTGAGCGAGAAGTGGTAGACAAAGACAGAGAGGGGAGAGAGTGGGAGTGTGTGTGTGTAGATAACACAGGCTAGAGAAACCAGATTGACGCCCCGGTGCCTCAGTGTGTGGGCGAATCTGCCACAGATACAGAAGCAGACAGGCTGAGGCAGAGAGGTATTGTTAGAGAAGACGCAGGGCCACAAAACCAACCTATCTACACACATCAGGCACAACGGACTGGAAAACTAGCAGCACCTTTCTCCTGTACGACACACACACACACACACACAGTTGACATATATACTGTATGTGTGGATTTGCCCTTTTGAGCTGCAAACTTTAGTTACTTTTGTTCCTTTACGGAAAAGCATTGACATGCCAAACCTGTTACATCCTGAGTCCTCTGAAATCATCGAACAAATATTTAGCTGTGACCACTAGGGGCGGTCTCGCATCGTAGCGACACCTGTGGCTCCCTGAGACAAGTGAAATGCAGATGAACAAAACATTAATGTAATAAAAGCAGTTAAAAGTGTGTGTCTTATGGGGCACACAAGACTTATCAGTACAATGGAATATGAACTTGAAAATCAATTTCGGGCAACTGCTATGCTGCATCACTGACTTTAGTAGAGCAGTGTGGAATAAAGTCTGTGCTTTATGGACTGGAAGACACCTTTCTCCTGCACAGATTAAAAGTGGAGTAAAGGAAGTGTAACGATGAATGGAGGCGATGTCTGGAATGGTTTCTGAAAACTCGTGGATTTAATGCAAATTTTTTATTTAATCCTCTGAATAATTTATTATTCAATTCATGAAACCCTCTTAGGAAAATAATGCCACACATCTTCAAGGCAGTTCAAAAATAATGCAAGGAAATGCAGGATTATCTCATCAAAAGCCAGGGAAATAAACACCAGCCATCATTGAAGCCACTGAAGAAGAAACACTAAGCTAAGAAGAAATGGAGCCATTTGAGGTTAAACAGTCTGCTGTTGCCGTCCCCTCCTTACAGTCACAGATTTGTGGACGTGGTGGGGGTTTGACACCACCACCAGTGATGGAGTCTTTGATGAGTCCACCCTGCTGAAAATGTCGTGAGGTGGATGCGTTTGACCTTCAGGTACTTTAATGCAACTTCTGCCAAAATCCTCAACCCCTATTGAGCTGCAGTGGCTTTAGCACGACCACGACAACATGGCTGCTTCTGGATGTACGTCTAGCCTTAAAATCCTGAGGTGTACAGATGAATGATGCTACTTAGTTATTCCCTGCTCTGATATATTATACTGTATTCAGCCAACTGTTTCAGTGAAACCGCATCGTATTGTGATTTTTAAAATAATAACGTAACAAAATATAAATATTTTTATAGGTCTTTTACATTCCCTGATGTCAGTTAACAACTCATTTGAATACAGGGATATTCATATTATTTAATGTAGAAGTGCTTCCGCAGTGTGCCGACTAAGATGGAGATGGAGCGTCGTACTGCTTTGCCAGGTGCCACTGATTGGACAGGAGCAGTTAATTAGACTGTAGCTTTTTGAAACAGGGAGCAAGAGCACAGGGACATACACAGGACATTGCACATCACATTCTTATGAGCAGAATGTGTAGCATGTGCACAAATTACCGCAACAGAGCATACAGGAGTAGACAAAAACAGTGACTACAAATATTGATGATAGCAACAGCAAATAGGTATATTTATAAAGTCTTGTCCAGGGTTTAACACCATCAACACTTACAGTATTCCCATCATGCACCTTGCCATGAGACACAAATGCACACTTTAGCGTGATTTATCCTCAACAACTTTGAATAATGGAGAATGAAGTGAGTATTAAATGAACTGGAAGTGCTTCTATGATCCCCCCCCCACCTAAGAATGATTAGGAGGAGAAGGCACCTTCCTGCTTGAGTGGCTCTGCAGCCGGGCTGACTTGCCGGCGACGCTGTCACGGAGCGGAGTGTCAATTTTTAAAAGAGCATCTCTTTCCTCTGGGCTGCAGAGTGACGGATAATGCTTTTGTGCATTACCGAGAGGGGAAGGCCATCCATCATGGCTACGTGTGTGTGTGTGTGTTAGAGTATGTGCATGTGCTGATTGTATGCAGGTAGCATTGCTCTCCTCAAGGCTGTGGTGTGGTTATGGAAGGGGAGGAGGAGGAGGAGGAGGCCTTCTGGGTAGATGCAAGGCAGGCAGAGCATCTGGAGACGACGACTCTCACTGGTGTCAAGCGGGGGCGGGTAATTTATTTGGTTGGGGGTCGTGGGAATACTGGAAGCATCTTCTCGCTGATGAAGAGCCGATGCTC